TCACACGATGACTAGAAATTTAAGCACAACCAGAAGATAAGCAAGACGCACACTAACTGTTTAATCCCAAACCATAATCATCTAAACAATCGATAATCAGTTATTAATCACACTATCGAGGTGTTAACTTCAACATTCGCAGCAAATATCGAATTTTGAGCTACATACTCATTTTGATAAAACCTTACAAAAGATATTATAATTACCACATAATTTATCTTTAACAGGAACTAGGACAAACAAAAAGCTTCAACTTCAACAAGAACAGAGCTAAACCACAATCACATTCATCGATTATCATGACACTAGTACAGAGATCTTCAGTCAAATTTAGCAACAATGATCCAATTTCGAGAACCTTTAACAAAGAGATTGTAATTACCATTGATTCATTGAACCAAATATTAGTCTTTCAATCGGTAGTCGAAGCCACAAAAGCTTCAATTTCATCAAGAACAGAGCTAAACCTTGGCCTATCCTTAGGCCTAACATACAAAACGCTGTCGTTTTCACCGAATTCACACAACCCACACTTTCCTTTCTTCTCCCACAATCTCTCACCGAAACTACAGTGAGCAAAATAAGCTTCCGCTAAAACGACGCCGTTTGATTCTTCTTCAACAACCTCAATCTTCAGTCTCTCGTAGTGCTCGACTTCGATCCCTTCCAATTCGTCAAGCCGCGCAAGGCCGCGTTTTGAAACCGAATAAAGCTCGCCTCGGATCCGTTGACCCGACCCGGATTGGTTGATCAAGTACGGGATCCCGTAGAGACCCGTGACGAGCGGGTACTGTAACCGGGTCGTGCGTTGACCGATGTAAACGGCGTCGTCCTTCGAGATCAGATCTTCCAAGAGGAAATGGTTTGGATGGTTTCTTTTCAGCGTACCGTACACGAAAATGAGGCTCTTGTGTGCTCCTCCTCCCATGGTTTCGCGACGGCGAGTTCGTAGTTTCTGAGACTCGGAGATAAAACTCGGTGTCTTGACTCAGAAATAAAAAAAATATTGTCTTGTTATGGGCTTTTAGTAAAGTATAATGGGCTTCTAGGCCTATTCGATTAAAAATGGATTACAAAAACAATTGGTCGAAATCATTTATTAGACTGCTAGTCCAGAAATATTATGTGCTCTGGGCCAGTGATGAAGCCCAAGACACGAATGTTTTTGCATATTTTGGTACTTCGATAACCTTTTACATTTTATTTTGATATATTTAATTTAAATAATTCTGTTGATTTATCGAACAGATATTTTATAATGCTAAAGTAAAAAACAAACTAGAAAAAGGGATAAAACAGTGTTAACAAAAAACAACAAACAGAGACGGAAAGGTTATTCAGATTAGTAATGATTGGAGCTCTGAAACTTAGTGGCTTTAATTAAAATATTTTAGTGATACATTAGACCAGTTCAAATCCATTTTCGGTTTAAATGTCGACTAGAATTAAAATACTAAATGTTACTCCTATTAGTTTGGTTGGAAAACATGCATGTTAATCGTTCTATCAACATTTTCAAGAATCAGGGAAAACATGTGTAACAAATTAAAAAGTCCAAAACATATTCATTCATTTAAAACCAAATATAAAAAAACACACACAGTTTGTATATAGTTTTAGTCTTTTAGAGAACATGGAGCATGGACAAAGTTGAGCTACGGAGGAAACAAAAATAAAAGTTGCCACGTGAACAATGCCGATGATATGCTTCGTCCATACTCCGACTTGCATTGAGTGAAAATAAAAAAAACGTTGGTAAGTTAACTTGGACATGTGTTAATCTATAATAAATATTGATGAAATATAAAGTGGCAGTATTGAAATTTAAAATGCAAAATGAACAAAAAAGCGTTCGTAGCGGCACCAAAGAAAATTTGCGTTCAAACACTAATTCTGAATGATGACAATACAACAACAAGCTTTACGTGAATTTGGACCGCTTTGGACACATTAAAAACACTACCATTTTACACGCTCGTACATTTAAAAAAAATATATATATATATTTATGTCCACAGAAAATGCCGTGAAAAAGGATGTAATATCCGTACAGAAGACTTCAGAAATGAGAATCGAAATTAGTAACGGTCAACGCATCGAAAGCTGCAAATCGCAGCAACCAATGCCGGTTCTCTTAACCGGTTGGTTTGTCTGTAATTAGTAATCTCCACATAAATACTTCACATCATAACTAAATTCACTATATCCGAAAAATGATCTTCATTAATTTGTTTTGGTTTAGTATTTTACGATCTTACTCCATAGAGTAAGTTCATTTCTAGGTACATTGTATCATATATCGAATTAAAAGTTTGCGAAACCGATAATTCGGAAACGGTCCCATAACTAAAAGATGAGATATAAAGATGTATTAATGAAAATAAAATAATTGTAACAATAGTGTATGGACTAGTGGGAAAGGATGGATATTCCTGGGTCAGATATGGCGTGCCGTGTCTCATTGCTTCACTTTATTTCAAATATTTATTTTATACTAATGTTTTTATATTCTTTGTACGGTATCTATATTTTTGCCAGTCAATTTCTCGACTGATATTTTTTGTTAGGACATAGGATACAAAAAAAGTTGGTTATAATGTAATATCTTAGTTATCAAGAGAAAGAACTTGAAATATCTTTTAAGCGTCTGACGAAAGCCAAAAACTCAAAATATCTAGTTATACAAGAAAACATGAAATATCTTTTTTATTTTATTTTACTATTATGATATATAAACGTCAAAAACACAAAATTATTTTAATTTACTCTAAATTTCAGTCCAAAATCCGCTGATTATATAAAAACACACTGTCTACTAAATGCATGACAATTGACAAATGAAATGAACATAGGCTGTATAATGCACTTATGCACATAAACTATATGTTTCCTTTAGTATAATATATCGTTTCCCCTTGTTTTCATTAATCTATGATGCATATGTCGACATAATTAAATTGTGTTATGGCATTTTAAACCTAGTGTGATGGTGTGATTCATATAGGTAAAGAAAATCGGGCCAATATAGTGTTTGTAAGTGTGCATGCTTCATGGATAATAAATTAACTACGCAATTGGTCTTTAATTATCTATTAACTAATAAATAACCTGATTACCTGAAACTGTTTAGTAAGACAAAGATAGTAGTTACTATTTTGGTGAGATATAGTTCAACTTTTGTTTTTTTTCGTCTACAAATATTAGCAACGAGCGATCAGTGATCAAAGTAAACAAGATTTAATAGCAGATCACTTCAGTACCGTAATTTGTGTTGATGAATTTACAAAAAAACAACATTATTCGTATTAGGAGTCTGTTCATTTTTAATTTTTATATATTAAATGGTCAAGTTATTTAACCAAATAATAATTGCTTCAATTTCAAATTAAAAAATTGGTTTGGATCATATAATTTTGGTTTATCCAAATTGAACATCTATTATATAGTTTTAAAGGCAGCTAATCATCTATAATTAAAAACTAAAATTTTCTAGTACAGTCCAGTTTGATTTTAGTTCTTGTTCATTTAGTTTGGTATAAAACTAATCACTTATTCGAAAATTTTAGAATTCTTTTCTTTAACAAATTGTTTGTAGAACTCTGTGATCGGCTGTAAGTCTGTGACTTAATTTTGATTAATATTAATTTGTTTTCTATTTCTTTAGAATAAAGAGACTATTTCTAGTTTATTAGTTTGGTACTTTGGTTTGTTGTGGTTCATGTCGGTTCTATTGTCCACCTACAAAATTATTTCTATATATTCCCATCAAGGACGGTATTAGTTTAATCGAACTTCCCTATCAGGTGATGCATGTTGGGATAGTTAGTATTGACTTTGCAATTTAATCTTCCTAATTAACTAGCTAGATTGAAACATCAACCAAACGCAAACACTAAAACACAAAATGGTACTGTGTGATTACTCAAAAAGCTACATTTGTGCATTAATCTCCTCCTAATAAATGGATTAGGTTAATTCTCCAAATTAATAAGATTATCTCTCTTTATAGCTCTACTATGCATACAACATTTGTCCCTTCGTTACATCACCCATGTTTTTTCACTTAAATAATTACTGTTTTCATTATGTATATATCAAAAGATAATAATTTAACTTTAAAGTGAAAATTCACTATAATTCACTATCTTTCCAACGCATACTTAAGAGTAAGCATATATAATTAAAATTTTAAATAAGCATTTTCATGTATAAAAAATATAAATGATTCATGATGTTATAGCAATTTACTTTTAGAAAGATAGCTTTGCATCATTTGCTAAAAAAAAAAAGGAAAAAGCTTTGCATCACTGTCACGTTGTGCGAGCAGGGTAGGTTACTGTTTAATTGATATTATTATAGTATATTGGATTAAAGAGTAATTAAGATAAAAACGTATATGAGCCACGTGAACCAATTGGAATACCCTATTAACATTAATATCTTCGTGATGGTTTATGAATGTTATGATTTAGAAAACCCAGTATGAAGAAAAATAGAGTAAACACCTGATGAAGAAATAAAGAAGCATGTAATGGAATTAAGGAGATATCATATATTATGAGATGTCAAATTGCAATAATGGAGCACCAACTTTATCAACTAATGGAATAACACACTAAATCAACTTTTTCAAAAAATACAAATAAAAATATCATAACTTTGAAACAGTTATCAAACTCTAACAACCAATAAATGTAATGACTATGTAACAGTTTATATATTTTTTTTGGAGAAAACCAAAAAAGGAATAAAATTTGACGAGATTTATTATTATTTTTGGAGGAAAAAACAGTATATAATTGAGGGAGATAAGACCAAAGAAGGACAGAAAGATATTTTTTAAATACGAAAAAGAATAATCCAATAGAAAATTCCAAAGAAAGGCCAAGGATGGTTCCTTGAACCCAACGCATCTTAGGCTCGGACATTAGGTTCGTAACTAGGTTCGGTTTAAAAAACAAAAGCATTTCAAGGCTCTGATTTTAGGTTCGGAGTTAGGTTCGATTTGTCGACATTGGGGAGGATAAGAACGACTCTTTCTCTTTGCTTTTCGCTTCCTCTTCTCTCTAAAACCCTCTCTGCAAGAAACCCATCTCTCTCTACTCTCTCGCTTTCTTAAACCCTTTTTTTTTCTCTCTCTCTCTCTCTAAGCCCCTTTTTTCCTATTTTCCACAAAAGTTTTGGGGGCTGACTCAGAAAAGTCTGGTCTTTTCCTGGCATTACTGCATTCCGTAAATGGCGATTGAAGATTACCAGAACCCAAATCGAGAAATCAAGCCTAAGAACAGACGAATCATGGTATTTTAAACAAAAACCCCCTTTTTCTAGATTATTACATTGTTGATTCTGGTTTCCATTGTTAAACCCATTGTTTTGCAATGTCTACTCGCAATGTTCTTCAAGCTCCTTCACTGAGACATTATCGATTCTAAGATTTGGGTTTAGCGATTGAATTTGTTTTTTTTTTCTGGAAACAAGACAAGCTGTGTGTATATGTTTTTCCCTAATTTTTTGTTTGTTTCAGCTGTTCAAATCGGGTTTGTATTGAAAATTACTCTGTTTTGTGGTATAAACATCAATGGCTTTCGATTTTCTCGGAATAATCTGAATAATGTTGTTTAGAAATTTTAATTTTTGTTATCACTATTGATTCCCCTAATTTACTTTAGTTTCTCTGTGTGACTGATGAACCAAACTCAAAGCTTTCGACTTTCGATAATGTAGTTGGTAGATTAGGGTTTTAAATTAATTGAAATGGAGAAGAAGAAGAAGAAGAAAAAGAGTAATCTAGAATATGGTTCTGGGCTTAGTTAATACGATTCTCTTTGAACTAGATTCACGGCTTAATATTCGATTCAGTACTTATCGCCGTCCAAATTGGTTTTGTTAAAATAAAAAATTGACAGAATCATATTGTGCCAAACGAATTTGGGGATTCCTTTTTATCCTTGATTGCAAGATTTTAAAATGTTATATGAAATTCGAAAAACCATTATCAGTAGAAATGTAAAAACTTTGAGACTAGAACCAGTCAAGAGTCTTCTCTATAAAGATGAAGACTTTTGATATGTACAAGTCAATGGTGTTCTTGGTAGATAAAAGCTTACTGTATTTTTTTTTTAGTTCTTTGGGTTTAATGGCTAATGAGTAATGTTGTTAATGATGTTTTGCAGGGAGCTGGTGGACTGGAGGAAGAAGAGACTCAGTGGCCTCCATGGCTGAAACCTTTACTGAAAGAACACTTCTTTGTTCAATGCAACGTTCATGGACACTCACCGAAAACAGAATGCAACATGTATTGCTTAGACTGCACAAATGGCTCGCTTTGCTCCCTCTGTCTTGCTCACCACAAGGACCATAGCACGATTCAGGTGCGTTGCATTTGCACTATCCAGCTTTCATATATTGAGACTGCATTTGGCGAAACTTGGTCTTAACATTGTTACTGTTCTCGATTTGCAGATAAGGAGATCGTCTTATCATGATGTGATAAGGGTCAGTGAGATTCAGAAGCATCTAGATATCTCCGGCATTCAGACGTATGTGATCAACAGCGCAAAGGTTGTGTTTTTGAATGAGAGGCCTCAGTCTAAGCCCGGTAAAGGTGTTACTACTACCTGCGATGTCTGTTATCGTGGCCTTGTCGACGATTGCTTTCGCTTCTGCTCTCTTGGCTGCAAGGTACATTACCTAAATTACATACCAATCACCATTCGTTCTTGTTCTTGTTGTATCGGGTTATAATAGCAAATCTGTGGTTTAAAATTTCCCTGCTTTCTTGATGAGTATCCAGTTAATTACAGAACAAAGTTTGAAACTTTTGATGAGGGTCTTCTTTAGTCTTGGACATTTCAGCAACTCCCTATTGTCAGTTTAAACTCTTAGCAAGAATCTTTCTTATGATAAACTTCTTCTCTGTGTTTTTGGGAATTTAAAGGTCACAGGGACATCTAAAAGCTTTAAGAAGAGAATGAAGCATACACCAATGGAATCAGAGAGTTCAAGCCACAGTTCAGGGGTAGAGGATAACATTTCAAATCCACAGAGTTTAAGCCCATCAACACCGCAGCTTCCTACTTCTTCTTCTCTGCGAAAAAGACGAAGAAAGGGAATCCCTTACCGATCTCCACTGCAATGAGATTAGATCTCAAAGAAGAAGCAGCCTGTGTTACATCTGAAGGTTCCTAATTATATACCAGACATCCTCAATACAAGGGCATATAGCTCAATACAAGGCACAGGAAAAAAGGTTTCTACTTTCTCTTACACCGAAGAATGGCCTTAGGTTTGTGCTACTAAGTAGTCAAGTAACTAGTAAGTGTATATATATGATATCTTCTTGTATATTTTCAGTGTGATGCAAATGAGGCTAGAGAGTGAGTGATACTATGGTGGTTTTAGGAAGTTAAAAGTGGGAATAAGATAAAAGTAGTTGGTTTTTGAGTAAGTCCTTGGATGTAAATTTGGTTTTGATAGATTATATGACAATAACATTATAAGTTTTTTGAAATGGTTATTCGACAAATGCAAAGTTATGCAAAATCCAAACCAGAGAGATACAAAATATTATTCCTGTAATTGGTAATACAGATAAAGAAAACACAAGGAATAAAGACTTGATCATGTTACAAAGACAACTTTCGTTTACGAATCTTTCCTAGACAACCATTAATCCTCTGTTCTAGACACTCTAAAGAACAAGAAACAAACTCATACCTGTACCAGTGGACTTCGTAGTACACATGAGCCGAGCAACGATGCTCACATCCATCACATATAAGCCGAGTGTTACTGTTGTTGCGAAGAACTTTCACTTTGAAACTAATGTAACGGAATGTGAAACCGGGTTTCATGTAAATGGAAGAACCGAATATGCAGTCGAGATGGATAGTGACACAACATTTGTCGCATGTGTAGAACCATTCCGTTGAATCTAGTTCTTTCTCACATATGTCACACCAATACTTGTTCCCATCAGAGGTTTCTTCTCCGTAACAAAGAGAGAGAGGATGCTTATCGTGTTTGTAACGTACCTCGCTAGGAAACGTAGCGCAACGATAACACAAATCGAACTCGCATGTAGTACTACACTGTAGATGAGATAGCGAACAGTGTTTCTTGCAAACCTTGCATATGATCTTCTCTTTGTGACGGAGTTCTAAGATTGGGAAACATAAAGGATGTCCATGGCTTTTATGTGTGAAGTAATCAGGGAGTGAAATGCATCCAACGTGTATTCGAAATATATCACTAAGCAAGCAATTCTTGTCTTTGCACTTGTACCTGAAACCACTGAACCTTTGTTGACAAACGGAACAACTCATGTCGTCATAGACTTCTTGAGGAGACGTGTCTAGGAAAAGCTTGTGTTTATGCAAAGCATGATCCAGCTCTCGAGGAAGATTAGCACATACCTCGTGGAGAGAGAAACCACATTGTGTACAATTGTAGAAGTCACGCGAGTCTATAGGAAGAACACAGGCATGACACTGCTTGTCCTCTTGATCATCATCTCCAAGATCTTTGTACTTCTCGAGTCTTAGGTGATGTTCGTGACAAAAATGCTCTATCAAACTATCACCTATCTTCTTGAACGGCGCGACGTTTTCGCTATTGTCTGGCTCTTCAGGCTCCCACTCGAGTTCTCTCCCGTCCCACACTTCTTTATGAGACGCACATTTCGAATGAGCTACATAAGAACATGTTTCTTGATTGCAAGAATATTGACCGTACTTGTCGTCAACGTTCTTGTGGCAAACACGGCATGAGTAACTTGAAGGGGAGAGGTAAGGAGTGTGAGAAAGACGATGATGATGGCGCGTGAGTTTAATGACACGTGGTAAGTTGATACAAGACACATGGACCATGTAGTTGCATTGAAAACAAGCGTAGCTTGGATCAGATCGATTGATTGACCCACAAGCATCACATGGAACTAATAAAGGCCGTGGAAAAAGAGAGAGAAGATGGTGATGGCTTTTAGGGTTTGTGATAGTGAGTGAAGGGAATTTATAGGAGCAATAAATATCTAAACAAAAACTACAAATGGAACAACGGTAGTAATACCGAGTTGGGTTCGATCCACACCAAGTGCATTTACTAGATTCAGCTTCGTTCTTACCATCGATGAGATCGAGAGGGTGTTGGAGATGATAAGGGTGTATTAGCTTCTTTGGCTCCGAGTAACAATCTTTGTGGAACTCAACATCACAGGTGGTGCAGGAGTAATACAAATCATCTTCCCACACAAACATATCTCTGGAACACACGGAACAAACAGATTTAGGGGTTTCTTTAGAGGTTCGAGGAGAGAGAGTGTGAGGATGAGCCGGGTGAGAGAGACGACATATAGGGTTTGGATTGGTTTTAGAATCCATTTCTTTGAAAGCTTTTGGTTATGGTCGATGACTCGATGTGTTGTTATGCTCTCTCTCTCTCACATTCCTGTATTTGTGGTGGAAGTTGATAAATATAAGAAGAAAAAACTAATGTTAAAATTAAAGCATTAGTTGTATCCATTCTTGATTCTCCACGACTTGTTATTATAATTTATCCCCAACATCTGTATGGTTGTATCCAGACTGTGTAATGAATACTCAGACGATCAAAGTCAAACTTCAGAGTCTAGATACACGAAATATAAAACAATTATTGACAAGTAAAATATGACTTTGACGGGTAACACTCAGAAATACCCAATTAATACAATCCGTGATGTACTACTACTTTTACGGAATAATAAAGCTATGTTACGTTTTGATTTTTAACCACTATTGAAAAGTATTTAAAAATTGTAATTTACATGATTACATCTTCTGTAATCTGTATTGCATCATTTAAAAAAAAATGATGACAGATTTCAAGCTATGACGACAACAGCTATTGCAAACAATTATTCATTAATGTAGAGATAAAATAACAAAATGTCACACCTTTAGTTATTGTTGCCAAACTCGAACTGGTTATAAATATAAAAAAGCTAACATCGTGAAACACGCGGCAGATTATTTAACAAGGCCATGAAGATGATGATGATGATAAGATTGTTAACCGGTTTCATATGGTTTGATTTCTTCGTTGTGGGTTTGAAATTTTGGCATATTTGAATCAATTTGGGTTGCAAAATTTCGACCATAGAGAGTTATTGGGAGATGGAATTATAACATTTTAATTGATTTTAAGAGTGGAAAGATTTGTTAAATTTATTAAAAAGATTTGTTAAATTTGGAAAGAGTTTGTTTATTTAAAAAATTTAGAAAAATATTTTATTATGACTTTGAGAATTTAAACCATATATATAACATTTTGAAAGTTTCAAAATCTTATTCTATGAGTTAAATTGTTTAAAATTTATATTCCAATATTATAAAATTTTAATAAAATCATAAAAATTTTAAAAGCCAAACTTTTTAAATAATAAAAGATTTTGGATGAAATTTTAAAATTTTTAAACCAATAACAATGGATTCTAGTAAAATATTAACTTTTAAGAATCAATAAACCAGTAATAATAAAATTTTAAAATTCTTAAAATCTACATAAATCCTTCTCCCAATAACAACTCCTTAATATGATAAAAGTTAAATGGGCCGTAAGATTTTAAAGCATATGTTGTGAGGATTTTGTTATAAAGGTTTAAATTCTGATTGGTATAGTCGATAGTAGTAGCCACAGGCCCAGTGTTTAAGCCCATCAACACCTCAGCTTCCCACTTCTACTTCTCTGCAAAAAAGACGAAGAAAGGGATCTCTTACCGATCTCCGCTGCAATGAGATTAAATCCCAAAGAAGAAGAAGGCCCTGTTTGTTTCCTTATCTGGACACAGCGTCTGGATATAACATCCAGATACTATATTTGGTTGCAACATCCAAATGTTGTTTGTTTGTATTTTTGATTAATATATCTAAATATTGTAACTGGATACATTCATGTTCGTTTGTGTATCTGTATTTTCATCTCGATGCACTTAACAATAAAAGAACTAAAATATCATTTTTTACGGAAAAATAAATAATCTGCAAAAGTTTATGATTTTGACGCGAAGCTAAATTTTATAGTTCTGACAGACAATACAAATTTAAGGTTTTTCTCGTAATTTTATGTTTTTCGCGAGAAAACGAAATATTACAGTATTTCCGTGATTTTACGGTTTTAGCGGAAAATAAAATTTTTATAGTTTTGGCAGAAAACAAAATTTTTTAGTTTTGACGAAAAAATGAGATTTAATATGTAAATTCTTTATTTATTATATTTGGTATTAGTGTAAAATTAAATAAATTATAAATCATTTTAATTATAATTGTATACAAAGGTATTTTAGACTTTTGTCATTTTGGATGAACTTTAGTGTATCCAAACACTTATTTCAAATGCATCCAAAATATCCAAATATTTAGAATGAATTTCATTATGCATCTAGATTTTTTTATCTAGATACATATCTAAATTGAATATAAAAGAACAAAATCTCAAAAGTGCATCCATATACTGTGTCTAGATTATAAAACGAACAGCACCGAAGAAGAAGAAGAAGCTTGTGTTACATTTGAAGGTTCCTTATTATACCAGACATCCTCAATGCAAGGACATTTAGCTCAATACAAGGCACAAGAAAAAAAAGGTTTAAACTTTCTCTTACACCGAAGAAAGGCCTTAGGTTTGTGCTACTTAGCGGTCAAGTAACTAGTAAGTGTGTATATATATGATATCTTCTTGTATATTTAAAATGTGATGCAAATAAGGCTAGAGAGTGAGTGAGATACTATGGGGTTTTAGGTATAGGAAATATGAATAGATGATTTGTATTGCTAAGAGTCATATTACATATATACACGATGAGAAGAGTATTAACAGCAAGTGTATATTATACAGTAAATGGTGATTGAATCAATGAGACAATCATATCAGTATTTCCATATGTATGGATTCTAATATGCCCCCTCAAGATGGACGTGCTTGCGAAACTCCAATCTTATTTCGGAGGATAATGAATAAAGCTCGACTTAGTGGTTTTGTTAGTGTATCCGCCAATTGATCTTTCGTTGAAACATGTGCAACACATAGCTGGCCAGCCTGAACTTGATCACAGATGAAGTGATATGCTAAGGCAACATGTTTCATTTTGGAATGAAAAATGGGATTGGCAGACAAGTATGTGGCTCCTATATTGTCACAGTAGATGACAGGTGTTGTGGTAACCGCAATCCCAAGTTCAGAGAGGAGAGAGCGTACCCAATTTATCTCGGAGGCTGTGTTTGCCCCCTGTATTCTGCTTCTGTTGAGGAGCGTGCAACTTTTGTTTCTTGGAGCTCCAGGAAATGGCTTGATCACCCAGATACACAATATAGGCGTTTGTTGATGTAATATCATCTGTGTCGCCAGCCCAATCTGCATCGGAGAAGGCATGTAGAGTGAGGTTCTGGTCGCGGGTGATAAAAAGACCATGTGTGGCTGTGCCGAGTAAGTAGCGCAGTACTCGTTTTGCTGCTTGCCAGTGGTCAGTAGTTGTCTTGTGCATATATTGAGACAGTTTGTTGACAGCGTACGCTATATCAGGTCGTGTGAAGGCCAAATACTGAAGGCTACCAACTAGTGTCTGATACTCTGTGGGGTTTGAGTGAGCTTCGCCAGAGAGAACCAATTTTGGTGATGTTGCCATTGGAGTTGTGACGGGCTTCGCTTCCATCATCTGCATCGTTTTGAGAAGATCATGAATATACTTTCGCTGATTGAGATGAATTTCACGAGAGGTTCGAGTTACTTCAATTCCCAGAAAATATGAAAGAGCTCCCATATCTTTCACTGAAAAGCGAGTAGCTAGATTGGCCAATATTGTTTCAACAGCGACAGTGTCATTACCAGTTACGATTATGTCGTCCACATAAATGAGCAGATAGATAAGCATGGTACCTCGATTGAGTACTAACAGTGATGTGTCGGAGACTAAATTCTTGAACCCAAAAGCCATCAAATACTTTTTGATCTCCAAGTACCATGCTCGAGGCGCTTTCTTGAGGCTGTATAAGGCTTTATTCAGCTTACAAACGTGCAGTGGTTTGTCTGGATTGACAAAACCGGGGGGTTGATGAACATAGACATCCTCATTAAGAGAACCCTGCAAGAAGGCGTTGTTGACATCGATTTGTCGCAAGGGCCAGTCTCGAAGAACAGACCGAATCGTAGTGGATTTGATCACGAGGCTGAAAGTTTCTTGATAATCTATGCCGGGTTGCTGATTGAATCCTCTAGCGACAAGCCTGGCCTTGTATTTGTCGAGGCTTCCGTCAGGGAGTTGTTTGATTCGAAAAATCCATTTACATCCAACGATGTCGTATTTTGGCGAGGGAGGTACCAAGTTCCAGGTGCGATGTCGGAGTTAAGAGTCAAACTCTGTGGACATTGCTCCGCGCCATTATTCGGATTTGAGGGCTTGGGCAAGTGTTTGTGGTTCTGTTTTAATGGCGGCAGCGGTACTGGTGAGGTTAGCGTATTTGGGGTTTGGTTTGATGATGGCGTTTTTGGATCTGGTGATGACGGTGGGGGGTGGTCGTGGTGGTCGTGGTTTTCTGGGCTTTGATGGTTGTATAGATGGTAATGGGTTTTGTTGTTGTTGGGATTGAGGTGTGGTGTTAATTGGGCTTATTTCAGAAATTGGGTTATTTGGGTAGATTTGGGTCGTGATTTGGTGGGCTGGAGTTGGTGAATCATTGGGCCTTTGAGGAGGAGATGAGTTTGACGATGGTGATAATGACGAAGAATCCAATGAGCGATCATCGTTCGCTGAGTCGTCGGTTTGAGATTGTTCCGTTGATGCTGGTGTGTCGATGATGGGTAAACTTGTTGTTGAAGGCGCCGGCGTGGTTGCAGGAGAGGGAGCAGCAGACGATGGCACTGATTTCTCCAAGGGCTCCAATTGAGTTGTGTTGAGTGGCGAAGCGATAGGTATGAAGGTTGCTATCGGACTCCAGGAGGAAGGAATTTATGGGTTGGTGGTGGGCAGTTTCGTAAGAGAGGTGAATGGGAATTGAGATTCATTGAAGCGAACATGTCTGGACGTGTATACACGATTTGTCCGTGGGTCTAAACAGAGATAGACGCTTTGAGTGATGGAATACCCAAGGAAGACACATGGTGTTGATCGAGGTTGTAATTTGTGGGAGGTATATGGTCGAAGCCAAGGGAAGCAAAGGCAGCCAAAGATTTTGAGTTTTGAGTAGTTTGGGGAATTTAGGAAGGGTTTGGTATACGGTGTTTGAAGAGATAATGTTTGGTTGGACATTCGGTTAATGAGGTATACGACAGCTGCGAATGCATATGTCCAGTAGGTATTTGGAATGGAGGCTTTGGTGAGGAGAGTGAGTCCTGTTTCGACAATGTGTCGATGTCGTCTCTCAGCCAGCCCATTGTGTTTGGGTGTGTGAGGAGGTGAGGTGAGATGGGTAATGCCTTTTGACGCCAGGAACTCACGAAGAGCGATGAATTCACCACCATTATCGGAGAACAAGGTACCGATTTTTGTCTGGAATTTATTTTCAACGAGGGCTGTAAATTTGGAGAAAATGTCTTTGACTTGGGATTTTAGTTTGAGTAGATAGAGCCATACATATCTGGAAAAATGATCAACAATAATCAAGTAATATTTGAAATTATCGATAGAGAGAATAGGCGATGTCCAGACATCAGAAAATAAGTATTGAAGAGGTTTTGTAGATGAGATTGTGGTTTAAGAAAAAGAGAGTTTGTGACTTTTATTTAATAGGCAATCAATGCACGAAAAAGAATTGGACAAAGAATCAGAAATAAGAAGAGAGTTTTGATTGATGATTGTTTTGAGGATATGATGAGAGGGATGGCCTAGCCTTGAGTGCCAGTCATTAAGATTGGTTTTGATATTGGTGCAGGTGGTTACGAAAGCTGATGGAGATGGATCTGTGCTAGGCCACTCATACAACTCATTCTTGGTACAGCCTTGGAGCAATGGGGCCTCCGTTTGAAGATCCCACACCTGAAAACATGAAGGGTAAAAATGCACCGAGACTTGATTAGCATTGCATAGCTTGTACACTGAAATTGGATTCTTCTTAATTTCAGGTACAAAGTATATCAGATAAGTGTATAGGGCGTGATGAATGAGGAAGAAGAGTGTAGCCTGTATGAGAAATAGGTAAACCTGTGCCATTACCAACAACTACTTCCTCTCCACCAGTGTAAGGGTGATGGAGTGAGAAGTTTGCCAGATCTGATGAGATATAATGCGTGGCACCCGAGTCTAGTAACCACGGGTTGTGGTTAATAGAAGAGCCGGCAAAATTTGCTCGGGGTTGCCAAGGAGCTAGTTGTGGTGCAGGCGTGGTGTGAGATGCAAGCTGTGGACATCTTCTCTCACTGTGTCTTTGGGTACCATCGATTTGACACTTCCCAAGGTATGGTCTCGGTCCGTTGTGACTCATTTCTGATTTGTTGTGAGACTGCCAAGTTTGGTGCTTGAACGGAGGCTTAGAGTAGCCTTTGTTGTTGTTGCGATTGTTGACATAGTTTGCGGATGCAGGGGTGTGGGCTGAGAGTTGAGAGGAGGACATTAGTTTGGACTCATGATTGAGTAGCTTTTTGTGGATCTCTATGATTGAAAGAGGAGTGTCTCTGCCTTCGATCTGATTGGCTATCACCTTGTACTCCTCTGGTAGACCTTCAAAAATGTAATCGACTTGATCTTCGTGGTCAATGGATTAGCCCAGAAGTGCAAGACAATCAAAACAGGTGGTAAGGTCTTGGATGTAGTCATCGATGGATTTGTTATCTTTTGTCCAGTTTTTGAGTTGTTGCTTTAGTTGTTTCATGTGTCCTCTGCTGGGTTTAGCGTAGGTATCCGCGAGTGTGGACCAGGCTTCGGCTGCTGTGGTAGAGCGAGAAAGCAGAGGTTGAATGGGGGTGGTGATAGCACCAAGAAAGGTGCTGTAGATCAGCTTGTCTTGACGTTTCCACGCTGTGTATGCCGGATTCAGACTTTCATTACCGGCGATAGTGATGAGGGGAACAGGGATGGCTGTGGATCCGTCGAGAAACCCTCCAAGATCATAGCCATCAAAAAGTGCATGAACTTGGAAGCTCCACATAAGGTAGTTGGAGGATGTAAGCTTTGTGACATTAGACATATTCAGATTTATGAGACTGTTGGTGGAGTTTGGGATCAAGATAGTGTCGATGTTGTTGGATGTGGATATGATGTTTTTGGGAAAAGAGGTGTAGGAAAAAAAATTGAAGAAGAGATGAATTTTAGGTCTCAGAATTTCTGCTCGGATACCATATAGGAAATATGAATAGATGATTTGTATTACTAAGAGTCATATTACATATATACATGATGAGAAGAGTATTAACAACAAGTGTATATTATATAGTAAATAGTGATTGAATCACTGAGACAATCATATCAGTATTTCCATATGTATGGATTCTAATATTAGGGAGTTCAAAGTAGGAATAAGATAAAGTACTGAGGGCTTTTGAAATAGTTGGGTTTTGACTTAGTCCTTGGATGTAAATTTGGTTTTGATAGATTATATGACAATAACATCGTATAAGTTTTTTGAATTATAATTATTAGACAAATGAAAATCAGAGAGATACAAAATATTATTCCTGCAACTGGTAATACAGATAAAGAAAGTACAAGGAATAAAAAAGACTTGATCATGTTACAAAGACAACTTTCGATTACGAATCTTCTTTTTTAGAGAACCATCAATCCTCTGTTCTAGACACTCTAAAGAACAAGAAACAAGCGTATACCTGTTGTACCAGTGGACTTCGTAGCACACATGAGCCGAGCAACGATGCTCACATCCATCACAAATAGGCCGAGTGTTACTGTTGTTGCGAAGAACTTTCACGTTGAAAGTAATGTAACGGAATGTGAAACCGGGCTTCATGTAAATGGAAGAACTGAATATGCAATCGAGGTGGATAGTGACACAACATTTGTTGCATGTGTAGAACCATTCTGTTGAGTCTAGTTTTTTCTCACATATGTCACACCAATACTTGTTCCCATCAGAGGTTTCTTCTCCGTAGCAAAGAGAGAGAGGATGCTCATCGTGATTGTAACGTACCTCGCTAGGAAACGTAGCGCAACGATAACACAAATCGAATTCGCATGTAGTACTACACTGTAGGTGATATAGCAAACAGTGTTTCTTGCAAACCTTGCATATGATCTTCTCTTTGTAACGGAGTTCTAAGATTGGGAAACATAAAGGATGTTCATGGCTTTTATGTGTGAAATAGTCAGGGAGTGAAATGCATCCAACGTGTATTTGAAATATATCCCTAATCAAGCAACTTTTGTCTCTGCACTTGTACCTGAAACCACTGAACCTTTGTTGACAAACAGAACAACTCATGTCGTCATCGTAGTCTTCTTGAGGAGACGTGTCTAAGAAAAGCTTGTGGTTATGCAAAGCATGATCCAGTTCTCGAGGAAGATTAGCACATACCTCGTGGAGAGAGAAATCACATTGTGTACAATTGTAGAAGTCACGCGAGTCGATAGGAAGAGCACAGGCTTGACATTGCTTGTGTTCTTGATCCTCATCTTCAAGATCTTTGTACTTCTCGAGTCTTAGATGATGTTCGTGACAGAAGTACTCTATCAAACCATCACCTATCTTCTTGAACGGCGCGGCGTTTTCACTATTCTCTGGCTCTTCAGGCTCCCATTCGAGTTCTCTCCTGTCCCACACTTCTCTATGAGACGCACATTTCGAATGAGCTACATAAGAACATGTTTCTTGATTGCAAGAATACTGACCATACTTGTTGTCAACGTTCTTGTGGCAAACACGGCATGACCAACTTGAAGGGGAGAGGTAAGGAGTGTAAGAAAGACGATGATGATGGCGCGTGAGTTTAATGACTCGTGGTAAGTTGATACAAGACACATGGACCATGTAGTTGCATTGAAAACAAGCGTAGCTTGGATCAGATCGATTGACTGACCCACAAGCATCACATGGAACTAATAAGGGACGTGGAAAAAGAGAGAGAGGATGGTGATGGCTTCTAGGGTTTGTGATAGTGAGAGGAGGGAATCTAAAGGAGCAAGAAACATCTAAACAAAAGCTACAAATGGAACAACGATAGTAATACCGAGTTGGGTTCGATCCACACCAAGTGCATTTATTAGATTCAGCTTCGGATTCGTTCTTACCATCGATGAGATCGAGAGGGTGTTGGAGATGATAAGGGTGTATTAGCTTCTTTGGCTCCGAGTAACAATCTTTGTGGAACTCAACATCACAGGTGGTGCAGGAGTAATACAAATCATCTTCCCACACAAACATATCTCTGGAACACACGGAACAAACAGATTTAGGGGTTTCTTTAGAGGTTCGAGGAGAGAGAGTGTGAGGATGAGCCGGGTGAGAGAGACGACATATAGGGTTTGGATTGGTTTTAGAATCCATTTCTTTGAAAGCTTTTGGTTATGGTCGATATTTGTTGTTATGCTCTCTCTCACATTCCTGTATTTTATGGTGGAAGTTGATAAATATAAGAAGAAAAAAGTAATGTTTTAAAATTAAAACATTAGTTGTATCCATCTCCACGACTTGTTATTATAATTTATCCCCAACTTCTGTTTGGTTGTATCCAGATTGTGCAATGAATACTCAGACGATCAAAGTCAAACTTCAGAGTCCAGATACAACGAAATCTAAAAATTTATTAACAAGTAAAATAGACTTTGACGGGTAACACTAAAAACACCCATTTATACAATCCGTGATGTACTTTTAGGGAATAATAAACTATGTTACGTTTTGATTTTAACCACTATTGAAAAAGAATAAAAAAAATTGTAATTGTACATGTTACATCTTCTGCATCATTTTAAAAGACAAATGATTACAGATTTCAAGCTATGACGACGACAACAGCTATTGCAACAATAATACTTTAATAAAGATATAATAATAAAAATGTCAGACCTTAGTTATTGTTGCCAGTCTCGATCTGATGATAATGATAATTATGAATAAAATCTATAAAAAAAAAAAGTTAACATCGTGAAACACGCGGCAGATTATATAACAAGGCCAAGAAGATGATGATAAGATTGTTAACCGGTTTTATATGGTTTGATCTCTTCGTTGTGGATTTGAAATTTTGGCATATTTGAATCAATTTGGGTTGCAAAATTTCAACCTTAATATGACAAAAGTTAAATGGGCCGTAAAATATAAAGCATATGTTGTGAGGATTTTGTTATACAAGTTTCAAATCTGATTGGTATATATAGTTGATAATAGTAGCCAGAGTTTCAGTAATTGAAAAGACTGCATTAGAATCACGAAATTTAAAGAAAACAAACTGAATACCTTCCGTCTATCTGATATAACTTTAAAATCATCACCATCTTGAAGTTTCAAATCTGTTTGCAACTTACTAATGAATCATCTCCAATTGGGTTCATTCTCGACATCAACGACAGCTCATGCAATTGGAAATATTTGGTTATTTGCATTTCTTCCAACCGCTGTAAGCAACTGCCTTTTTATTGTGTTCTTACGAAAGCAACCATCAAAACCAAAGATTGATCGGCAATGAGAGCACCATGTATGCTTGAGTGCAGCGAAACAGACATAAAATCTGTAAAAACATCTACTCCATCATCTTCCTGCAATGTCTCTAGATCGACAGATGATTCCTTATTTGAGTTATAAAAGACAAACACAAACAAGTCAAAAAGTGAAGATAAAAATTGTAAAAACGAGACCATGAAACATGTAAAACAAGAAACTTACTTTATGAGCTCTAAACGGTAATCTCTAAGCCTTAAGAATTGTAAGTCATGCTTTCTTGAATCATCTCTAAAGCCCTTTGCTTTGCCTTTCGGTACTGGTCTATTATCGTAATCAAATTTCAACGCTTCTGAATTTCAAATTGAATAGTTTTAGGCATGTAAGTAGGATCATCTCTTAGATCATTCACAAAAAGCCTAGTAATGACCTCTTGAGAAAGTAGCTTAGAACGCCAAGTCTTCATACAACTATGATTCTTGTTGTGTACTTTAACCAACCATTTTTGCAATGGTTTTTCATAAGAACAGTAAATCTTCCACATACAGTTTTCTAGCTTTACTTGCACATTTAAGTTCAGATTTATCTTTCTCCCAACGAATATATTTCACATTCCATCCTTCCTTCAAGACATAATCTACCATAGCTTACTTGAAATCTTCTAAACTATCAAAACTTTGTCTCAATTTCAGCTCACCACTGCTTTTCTTATATCTGAAATAACCCTCTGCCACATTATCATCTTCTTCATCATCTGAGCACACGGGTGTCAAATATTCATCAATCTCTTCATCAATAAATTCTGCTACATTCCTTTCAATACTTGCTTCTTCATTAACATTTTCAAACTGGCCACCGTAGAAACAACCAAAAGTAATCGATGTATTTACTTGAGGATCACTGCAAAAATTAGCATCAATCTAAACCAAGTTAACCTCTTTGACACATTTAACCGAACATTTGGTGGACATGTTACCATTTCATTCTCTAATCATTGATATCGAACATACAACACAAGACTAACTTAAATTAATAAATCTTATATGAAAATTAACATACTTTACCATCTAAATCTACTAAAAACTATGAATTCATAAAAATTAAAGTTTGCTTACCTCATTGTCAAAATTTCAGACGGGAAACAAAATTTGAAATATCCAATGCTTATGCTTCTTCCTTAAACCCCAAACTACACCCCGTTAATCAATTTGGATCGACGTCTAGACAACAATTCGTCTTTTTCTTTCTCCCTAGCTCTCATGAACTCTAGCTCTCGCCCGTGACCCGTGAAATCTGATTATCAATTTGTGGTTTCTAAAAACAACGTCGTTTTGTGTTTTCTGACATACCAATTTTAAAACGACGTCGTTTTAAATTTACCACGTATCGTCCAGTCATCAGCAGCTAACGGTAAAATTCACGGCGTCTACAGTAGTGTTGGTTTCGACCACAATTCTATAAAATATGAAAATTCAAATATTTTACTAATTCATGTAATTTTTGGCATTGTCTTATAGCCTATGTATGGATAATCAAGAATACAATAGTTCTTGGTAGAATTAGCCGTTTTTCCCAAGAGCAACCCCAAAAAAAATTATAAACTTAAAAAGCCACATTTTTAAAAGAAATAGTTTGATTTTTTAGTAGGTTAAGTTAATTTTATGGTTTTTAGTTTTAAAAGAAAGTTTTCATTCCAAAAAGAAGTGTATGTTTTCATAATTTTTTTAAAAACCATATATCATAACCAGCACTATATACTAATGCAAAATTTGTTGCAAAAATCAAACCAGATTAGATACCACAAATAATCTTCGAGTTACAGCATATATAACACATAAAAGGGGTCGAAACGTAAAAGAAGCTAAAATATAGGAAATCCAATAATTTTAAAAACATTCCTCCCACTTTTGGCGCTAAACTTCTTATTCCGATCATGTATAACCCTGCTTATACTTTCTGAAAATATCCTCAGTTTTCGCGTTTCGAAAAGCGCAGCAGCCGATTATATAAACGATTATCAACCCGATTAGCGCCAAAAGGAGAAAGATATCCGCTTTTAACCAATCCACCTTGAGATTCGCGAGTAAACCGGCTTTGCATGAATCACAACTGTAACACAAAGTGTTTTGATCGTTACTCCATTGTAGACAATCCATATCTGCAGACATATCTATTGGACTTATCCAGTAAGTAGGGTTGACGAACGTGAAACCACATTTTGTTGGGGGTTTGCAGCAACCAGACTGAAAATAAAGAAACGGGGTTATATTGTAAAAACATTAAAAATAAGGGGGTAAAAAAGATTTTACGCGTGGCTGAATAAGTGCACATAGTGGAAGAATCTAGAAAGCTGGATTCTATTTTATTTTAATTAAAAGTTTTTAACTTTTCCAGTTTTTCGTTCAGACAAGCCTATAAGCTAAGAATCAGTTCTATAATTATGATTTCATTAACACTCACACCTGTTCTTTTCCTGGCCATTAGATTTTGATTAAACAGAAGTTTGATATTTTCATTTGAATTGCAGCTTTTTTTAAATCAAAAGGATCTACTTTTTTTCAGACAAAACCTAACAAGCAAAGCACCAAATCTATATATATTTTCATAACCGCCCTTTTCTTTTCAACATCCATTTGATTTTCACCCCCATACTTCTTTCTATTCTATTAACACCCTAATTTTCCTCGATTAACGAGTTCACGCACTGACGCCAAACAAAAAACGAGTTGAAAAACTAATTAATACCAAGGAACGAGGAAAAAAATCATCTAAAAAACCCGAAAAAAACTAATAAAAATATCATAAGCCAATTAATTTATAGCAAAATGAAGAAGAAATTTTGAATAAAAAGGGGGAAAGAGATACTTACTTGAATGGGACTAAGACGAGCATTGAAGAAATCTTGAGCCGTAGAGAAACTCTGATTCAATTCAGGACAAAGACTAGTAGTACTCAAACAAGTACGGATCCTATCCCATTTATAAGATCTCTGAACTCTTCGACGTAAGTAACCAGAGAAATCTTGAAGACTATACTCGAGATATGCTCTATTTGGCTCTGGATGACCAGAGCCTCTAATGGTAACCATGTAAATAAACCCGACAAGAATACCTAAAAGTACGATGAGAGCAAGCATGGCAATTAAGTAAATAACGAGAAGCCATGTGATTCTCCAAAACCCTCCGATGAAACCAGCGAGACCCACGAGGAGGATTAAGATTCCGAGGATTATTACTGGCCATTGAAGAAGCTTGACGCATGAGTTTACGGTTCCCATGGCTAACCAGATTCCGGCGCCGATGACCGGAATTGAGAGGAGGACGGAGATGAAGTTGATGCAACCGATTACATTGTTGCTTAAAGGCATCTTTTCTTGGAGAGGAAAATTATCTATTTGTGTTTCTTGGAGTCTGTTTGGTTTGAGAGAGATTTAGGGTAATGGCAATAACTGAGGGAGAGAGAGAAGATTCACATGTGTCAAAAGTTAATTATGTAGTGTGGTAATAATAATTTAGAGAGAGGGAGAGAAAGAGAGAGAGAGAGGGAGACACATTTGTGAAAAGTGAAATGTATTATATAATAAGGATAAATGTTTGAAAAGAAGAAAAAGAAGGTGGAATTATTTCTTAAATTAGGTATTTTGAATTTATCTTAAAAGAGAAAAAAATCAAACTTATTTTATTACATATTTGAATATATTCTACAAATTTAGTAGATATTTTCCCAAAAAATATAAATATCATATCTCAGGTGTGTGCAAGATCATTACAATTTTAATAAAAGAAGATAATTTTAAGAAGATGACATTCACAAAGAAGATATGCAAAGTGTCTGTTTTTTTAGTACTCTTATCCTATTTATATTTAAGGTGAGTGAAATACAATCCTCCTTTTAGTAAATTAAACAAAATTTTAAAGGAAATTAGTGCAAACAGTACGAAATTTATTTGAAAAATAAGTCTTTAGTTTTCATTCAATCTTGTTTAACGTTCTAATTGCATTTGTGCTTTTAGAAAAAGATGGATCTTATATTTATAATAACCAGCTTTTCTGGAAAAATACAATCTGTAAAAGATTTAATAAAGATTAAAAGAAGTAAATTGATTGATTTCAAAATGTCAGCACAACATTTCAATATATAATGACAAACTAAAATAATAAAATGAAAATATAACTATTGTTGGGATATCAATCTAAATTTTAAATTGAAAATTTAGACAATAATAGTCTGATATATAAGTAATATCCAATTCTGATTAGTACAATATTTTTCTAGAGGAGTTTAAAGAACAAATCCAATAATATCATATTAATTAGGGAGTTGACTATGAGCTTAAAAAACCTCAATAATTAGTATCAGAGTTAAGTTTCAGAAAATGTGGATCTTGGAAAGTGAGTTGTACTGCATGTTCGTTGTGGGAAGAAAGCCCTCAAAGTGACTTTGTGATTAAGGGTGTCGGTGACTTGTGTCGAAAGTCTTCCTAACAATGCTCCCAAGGTTAGGTGAAGAGTTTTGTTGGTGCGTACGAGGGTACAAGATGGGTGTCATGTTTCGCGGAAGGTTGGAAGTAAAGGGCTGGTATGGTTTTAGCCTGAGGAGGGATTGTTGAGATATAAATCTAAGTTCTACATTGAAAGATTAGACAGTAATCATCTAATATATAAGTATTGTCCAACTCTGATTAGTATTAGATTTTTTGTGAGGAGTTCAAAGACAAATCCGTGTGGGCTTTACCACTTGTCTTGGATATGAGTTTAAGAAACCCAACAATTAATATCAGAACCAAAGTTAAGAAAATGTGGACTTCGAAAAGTGGGTTAGGCCTGCTTGTTTATTGTGGGAGAAGTCCTCTGACCTTGCGATCAAAAGTGTCCGGTGACTTGTGTAGAAATTCTTTCTAATAGTGCTTTAACGATTAGATGAAGAGTTATGTTGGTGCATATAGTGGTATAAGATGGATGACAGATTTCGCGGAAGGTTAGAGGCCAATAGTTTGTGTGATCTTTAGCTTGAAGAATTTTTTTTTAAAATATCAATTCAAGTCACACATTGAAATATTAGACAATAATAGTTTAAAATTAATATCAAACTTTAATTAGTATGAGATATTTTAGAAGGGGTTCAATAATAAATCTGTGTGAACTTTACCATTTGATCTTAAAACAAATAATATCATATTAATAAAAAAATTAGACATGCACTGAAAAGAAAACTTAACAGTAACAAGATGTATAAGAAAAAAAAACAATTGCAATTGACCGTAAAAAAACTCCAAATAAGCAAAAATAAATATTGATATTCATTCATATATATAGAATATTTTTGTGTGTGTCTGAATGTACATTTTGAAATTGACGTCTCTTGACTGACAAAACAAAAATTAACATCTCTTTACGTCCGTATCTCTTGTGTAGATGCAAGCTTGAATGGAACATTTGCATTTGCTTGAATTTGGGATTTTTAGATAGATTGAAACTTTTGATAAAGGAAAATAAAATAATTTGACATTTCTTTGTGTTAAATATAATTAAACAGAATCTTCAAATCGGAACAAAAAAATATATTTTCTACTGAAAAAAAATTCCCTAAAAAAATAAAATCTTCACATTTTTTTTAAAATACGGAAAATAAAAAACCTCCATAAAGAATTCATTGTTTATATGTGTTAAAAAAAATCTAGCACTTGTAAAAAAAAGAAATAAAACTTATAACCATAGACAAAGTCAAAATGAACAAAAAAGTCCAAGATAAAGGATGATAGAGAAAAGATAATTTTTCTATATTTTTTATTTTGTATATTTGTATACTTATTTTTTAATTATTATATATAAATCAATTAAATTACACGATTAAACTACAAAAGTGTAAATTTATTTTCAAACTAACAAAAACTATTCAATAGATAAATAAATAGTCAATTAAAATGAAACTATGTCATTCTATATAGAGAACATAAACTAAAATATTAAAAAATAGATAAAAACTTTAACTAATTAAAAGTTAAAAAAACTTATAAATTCTTAGTAAAGAAGTATAAACTATAATCCATAAACAAAAAAATTATAAACCCAAGCACAATTAATGTCTTCAGTGCATAATACAAAAAGCTAAACATAACTTTAAATCATAAATATTAACATTAAACTCTAAAATAATTGTAACTGAGCATTTGTTTTTCGTTTGGTTGTGAAGAAACTACAATACCAAAAGTACAAACTGAAATCCAAAACTTAAGTTTTAATATTCTAATTTGTTAAGTTTTCAAATGAAAAAAAATGGTGCGGTCTATTGTTAACATTTTTTTTTTTGGGTTCAAGTGTCTACATTAATTTGATCTATATAATTTGATAATAAGCAGCGTACAACGAAACCAGATGTGAGAAAAATGTGAACATGTTGACTAAATTCACATATAATCCAAAAGAAACATGACAAGAGAAAAGAATTATTGTGAAAAATAACAAAACATTTTGAAGATAATTCGAAGGAGAAGAGAATCTTTATTACATGAAGAAAAGTCAAGATTTTCACTTCTTTCTGAGTACAAAATCATCTGTTTCGAGTGGAGTAGAAAATGATAAGCATCGGGTACGGGTATGGGTCCCATTTATGTCCCGACTAAAACCCAAAAAATTATTGTCCTTTTCGTTAGTAAAAAAAGAGTCAGAGGCGTCTTCAATCTATTCAAATAACACTGATAAGTGTGTGAATCTTCAGATAAAAAATAGACCAACGCATAACTTAAAATATCGGGATGATGTTTTCCGATGAATCTTCAAATCTTAACCCAATATTTTGCCAATGCACTTGATCGAAAACCAAACAAATAATAAAAAAATGAGGTTTTATTTTACATTTGCCGGAAAAAGGTGGATCATGGTGTATTCTGATGTCTTTAAGCTATTTCTCAACGGTCCAAGCGTTTCGCCGTGTCATTCGTATAGGAGTCGGATATATAAAATAAGCCCATACCCAAAAACGTAATTTTGGGCCATTGGGAAAGATCCACCAAATAGATTACAACGGAAAAAATAAGCAACCGAATATACAATCTCACGCGCAATGATGGCACGTAGAGCTCGTGTCTCTCATATCTCACAAACTTGTTGGAAACAAATATTTATTCGTCTAATAATAAATTTAAACAAAAATTCGAAAGAATGATACAACATATAAAGACAAGGTTAGTCAATCGAAGTCATATCACTTCAAAAATATCACATTATCATCATAATTTGAGACAATTATCGCCCATACCAACTTGTTTCGGTAAATTAGTGCGAATAAATATATTTTGTTTATCACGGATTCACGGTAAACATTATTTTTTTTCAGAATTGATAATTTGCTTGTTATAGACCTCTAATTTTGGTTTTAGTCCTTCGAATCCACAAACACTTAAAAGATGTTTAGTCTATTACTAAAATTCAAGCTGAAAATTATAGTGATCGATAAAATAATAATCCAAGTAGGTAAATATAGTATTCAAATCTTCACAAGCATTCTAATTCGATAATTTATTAGAAAATTAAAATAAAATAAAAATTTACTATGTGCCATTATATAATCCACATGGATTCACAATGTAGCCTTTACAGAGTCAGAAAGGAACCGCAACCTAGGAAACAAAAAAAAAGAAAGAATTAATCTTTCTTTTTATTCTGAAAGAAAAAAACTCAAGAATGTGCTATGTGATCAAATTAAAATAAAAAATAAAAACAAGGGATATAAAGAAGAGAGAGGAGATTTGTCAGAGAGAATGAGTGGTATTTGTGTGATTTAAAGGAAAGTTGAAGGGTAATTCTGACATTGATGAACAACAAAAAGGCTCCTCTTCAATGATACTTAGCATGTGATGAACTGCTCCTGCAATGTCATCTACTGAACTTAGCTGGCAACTCTCTTCCACCTTTCAAAATATAATAAAAATATGACGTGAATTTACAGTTATAACCCTAGAAAATCACATTAGGAATCTGAACGATTTCTTATAGTATAATAATTATGATTCACGTTGCAATAATTGAACCTCTTTTCAAGAAAATGGTGAAGGAAAAAAAAATCAAAAGTCACTCCGCCAAGTCTGGTAATAAATGTTAGACCAAATCTAGTTAAGAGTTCATAGACATTCCTTTTCTATGCCCTGTCCCTTGGACCGTACACAATCTACCGTCTAGCTCTAAATTCGTAAACTTTATTCTCAAAACACCTCTCTCAAATAGTATTTGCAAAATTAAAGTTTTTTTCCGGTTTAGCTTCCGGTTTAGAGTTTATATGATGATGTTTGTTAAGAGTCCTATACTTGTAGAGTAAACAACGTAAAAGTCCAATGTTAGGGCTCATATTAATTTACCTTAGTGCTGATGGAGTAAACAGCAAAATCTTCCAATGTTGTGACACTGAGGTGAAGTACGGAGAGGGAGAGTGATTGTAAAGCAGCCACCAGCTTCGAAAGTTGCGGTGGTCCGGTGGTGGCCACTGAGGTCCACCGGAAGCCTCTTCTTCTCGACAAGATTCTGATGTTAGCATGAGTTTCGATTAGAGTCACTTCGAGATCTTCCATAGCGGTTTTAACCGAGCTTGTTGAGCCATTTCTATTCTCCTGGTTCGGATCGTAGGAGTGAAGAAAGAACTGCGATAGTGATACTGAAGATGGTTGATGAGGATTCTCCGGTTCGCCGTTAGAGTCTTGACTTGTTGAAGAAGTAACCGTCTGGTTTACTTTAGATATCTTTTGAGCTTCAAGAGATAGTAACTGATGTTCAAGTTCTTTGATGAAATCTATGGCTCCACCAACTATTGAAGCTTGATCACCCTTTTATTAAGAAAACCCACAAAAATAGTGAACATATAAGTAAATATATAAAACCCCAAAATGAAATTTAAACCTTTTTAAAGAAACTGTAAATAATCTGAAGCCGACAATCAATTTAACCAAAAAAATGAAACTCAAATCGAAATCTTAAACCATTTTAAAGATTTTTCATAAAAACTGAAACCCAAATCGAAACTTTAAATCCCTTTAAAAGAATTGGCCATTGAAGTTGAATCAAAATAAATAAATAAATAAAACCTTTAAGGAACTTTTTTTCATAAAATTGAACCCTAATCGAAATTGTAATATTTTCTATGAAAATTTTCCATAAAAATTGAACCTTTTGAGCAAAAGGTTGAGGCATGAGAGATCTTAAGACAGAGAGATGTTGATTCATCTGTCTTCTTCGATTTCTTTCTACGGCGATGTGAGTCATTCGTTGATTTTCAGCTTCTTCTTCATTTTTGCAAACCCTAGGCTTCCTCCTCCTCCGCTTCTTCCCTCTGCTAGCCGGTGGTGGCTGCCGCAACGGTGGTTCTTGTTGAGATATCGCCGGAACTGTGTTCTTGGACATGATGATGTCGTCATTTTCCGGCGATGGCTCGAGATCGACGAGAGTTTTGAATGGGGTTGGTGAAAGAGTCTCAGAGAGCAAAAAGTTTAAGAGACCGGTTGATGATAAAGCTTCTAGTGTCATTGCTCTTTAAGACGTTGATACCTTATTGAATTACTAAACGTCGATGATTTATATAGCAACATCCAAAATCTTTAATTTTATTTTTGTGTTCAGAAAAATAAATATAGAGTTCAGAAAAAATTGTGGGCGAAAACGACATTTTCAGAAAAAATAAATGGAAATGATTTTTAAAAATGACAAATGCTGAAGCTCTGAATTTTTTTTGAGTATGTACATGTGAGACATTATTTGATTTTGATTTTGATCTTGATCGGTACTATCATGGAAGTGTAATTCTATAGAAAGCTTAACTATGAAATTTTCTGAGTGGCATGTTTCTTTGTTTTATTATTAAATTTTGTAAAACTTTGACTAAGCATATACTGTACTTGTAGTTGATAAAAAAACATGCATAATCACATAATCATTTTTATGTTTCTACATATTATAATATCAGTATCGTACTCTTTGCTTATTTATCAAAAACCCAAATTCTAATCAGAAGAGATATGAATCCTCAGCATACAAGAAAAATAACTTATTTTGAGATCCATCATGTATCACTCCAGACATAAGAATTTAGAAATAAAAATTCATAAATCAGATACACTCGATGTAAAGTTATAAAAATGAGTCAGTTTGATATGATTGTAGTGATGAAAATGACACAAGCTACGTAATCATCTTCGAGAATCATATTGTATAAAATCTATATTTACGCTTACTGTTGTGTATAATTTTTGTATAAATGAGAAAAAGGATTAGAAAGGAAGAAGAGAGAAATGGAGTGGTGGTGGCACGTGCGATGGGTCAGAGAGTCTTAGGTCTTGTTCTTTTCTTGAAATTGTGGACCAGCACATCTGTTTTACTCAGTTACTCTTTTTACTTTTTACATTTCTAAAGTTACAGTCCACTGCCTATGAGATATCAATGCAAAGAAGCCAATACAGAATGTGGTATTATTATTCGATTTTTTTTTAAAAAAACTCAATGGTCTAGGGAGAAACTAAATTCCAAGTATTCGGTTCAAGGAAGAACACAAATGGGACCAAACCGGTTCGGTATTTGGCATGAGTGGACCGTGGGGACCGGACAGTAGCATACACAAATAGAGACAAATGAGTGCTGGAAGAAAGCAAAGCTTCACATTAAAATCTTTTTGCTATTTATTTTTTCTTCGATTGCAACTTAAATCTATTTTGTGGGCTTAAATATATATAACATATCCACAAGATCTTTTCTTGATAATGATATTGGGAAAGGCGAGTAATTATTATTGCAATTGTATGCTTATAATTAAAAAGGACTGTCCCTATATCAACAGTCAGATTTGTTTGCACATTAGAAGGACCAGAAGAAGATATGAAGGTAAAAAACACAACCCGTGATTAAAAAAATTCTTATAAATTTTTCTTTATATTATTTTTAAGTTTAACCATCTGCCCTTTTCTGTTTTCTTCTGATAGAAATTGTCAGAAGTTTTCTCAAAACCAAAAACAAAAAACGTTAACTTTCACAAATTAGACAGCTCCAGGCACAAAATCTATCAAACATTTTTGATGACAGAAACAAACCCACTAAATATATTCTAGAATTGATAAAGTATACAAAAACAAATTAACAACAAAACAAAGTAATCATTAGACTATTAGTTTGAACGATTAACAATGACCTCTCCAACATCCAAAAAGAGATGTGTTAACTTTCACTAATTTGACAATAGCAAAAGAAAATCCAACAACATGAACATCTGTTTAGGCCTATGCATTCTTTTTCGGTTATGCTCAATTGGGGCTTTTGGATTTCGGTTTTTGCTTTTAGAAAAATAGATCGGAAGTACAACCATTTTTATTTTGGTTCGGTTTAAAAAAATATTTAGATTTGGTTCAGTTTTGCGTTAGTTTATCAGTTAAAAAGTTTTGTAGTGTTACAGTGTAAGATATTAATTCTTAATTAATTTTGATTTATTCGGGTTTGGTTTGATTTATTTGGTATAATTTATTTGCAACCGTTGAGGTTAAAATAAAATTTTGTTTGGTTGTACTTGTACTGAATTCAAATTCGGGTTTGTTTTGATTTGGTATAAGACTTTTGTAACGGTTAAGGCTTAAATAAAATTTTATTCGGTTTTGGTTGGTTTAAGGAAATTTGATCCGGTTAGATTTGTTCGATTGAGTTTGGTTTTTGTCTTCTAAAGCTAATCACCATTTAAATTTCACATTAGCCGAAGTAAAACACGTTTCAGCCTCTATATTTGCTAGTTAAACACAGTAAAACTATATAATCTCTTATAGTTATTGACAAGAAACAATGTCCATTTGCTTCCAAGTTCCAACGTCTCTCGATCTATTAAGACTATTATCAATAATTTTTACTTAAAAAGATTCCTGTGAATGTTTTTACACCCAGACAACGTGTCAACGCTAATCTGATTCGTTGCATCAACAAACAAACACGTGTTCATGTCTGTAAAAATATCTGTAAGCATCCATCGCTAAACATGCAACAGATCTTTGTACTTATTTATCTAGAGAGAGAGAGAGATTAAGAGAAGCGTACTAATTTACGAAGTCCGAGAAAAGGGAAGACAACAACAACAAAGAGGACGAAGAGCCGAAACTATTGTTGTCAGATTTGTCCACGTCTAGATAGTAAACTCAGTCTTATCTTTAGTCGTCTGCACAAACAAAATTTCTTACTGTTTTCTTCTGTTAAAAACAGAGAAACCCAAATAGTAAAAAGTTCTATAGAGAAAGGTTCAAACTTCAAAAAAATAGCTCTTCTTTTTAACTGTGTTCAGAAGCAGCACATGAGCAACGTGGCTACATTTTTTTTGGGACCAGTGGTTCTAAAAATGGCGTCTTTGGTCAATTTTGTAAAGTTACTTTGGACCCTTTTTACCAAACCTTTAACAGTTACAGTTACCATTGAACATCAAGAACATTACATTTAAACCTGAAAATTACTGAAAGAGTATCACAGTCTTGCTCTTTCATTTAATATCAACGACATCTAATTCATATAAATGAATTTACAAGTGACATATTTCTCATCTCTATGTGATTAAACCCCAAGATATTCCACAAAATCTAGCTATTAGAGAGATCGTTGCTTAATACATTAGCTGATCTCAAGTCATTGATGTAGTTGAAGAATACTAAATAACTATCTTGTCATTACAAGTACAACAACAATTTCATTAGGAATTTTCTTTATAAGATACTTTTCTACTGTCTTTAAGGATACATTCTTGCATTGCACTCAATAGCAGCTTTGAACTTGTTATGCATCTTCCTCGCCGCCTGGTAAGAAACCGTCATCCGTAAACCGGACAGCACAGCTCGTCTCGCCGACGAGGGAATCTTCATCCCCTCATTGTAACACCGCAAGAGCAGCTTCGAAGCGCACACGAGCCTCCCATCTTTGCATAGATTATGCACAACGGAAGTGTAAGTGTACTCATCTCTAATCTTCATCGACTCAAACAACCTCATCGCACGGTCTACATGACCGGCTTTACACAACCCATGGATCAAACAGTTACACGTGACGACGCTCGGCTGCATCCCCATCTCTCCTATACAAGCCAAATGCTTCTCTGCTCTTCTCGTATGCCCTATGCTCAACAACCCATTGACTATGATCGTGTGCGTGTAGTCATCAGGTTTCAACCCTTTAACCTCAATCTTCTCCAGTAGATCATCAACTGCATCCAAGTTCCCATCTTTAAAGTGAAGACTCAACAACGCGTTGTAACAAACAATGTCTTGGCTCCGTGTACCGCTTCCCACAAGCTCTCGCATACACTCGTGCGCTTCCTCTGCTCTTCCGGTCTTCACCAAGGCGCTAGAAACCGCGCAATTCGCGTACCCGTCAAAGGTATAACCTTCTTTCTTCATCTTCAAGAACAGCTCAAGCCCTTCCGCGATCATCTTGCTTCTGATATACAGTTTAAGCATCGTCGTGTACGTAACAGCGTTCGGAGTATAACCGGATTTCTCGAGCTCTCTCAGCATCCGGTTCGCGGAGTAAACCTTTCCGGATTTACAAAGACCGTTGATGAGTATGTTATACGTCATGAGATCCGGTTTAACCCGAGTCTTGAGGTCATTAAAGTGTGCAATGGCGTTATCCATGTGACCGCTTTTGCAGTGAGCGTCGAGGAGAATGTTGAAGGTATCAACACCTGGAGATAGCCCAGAGAGATGAACATCCTCGTGAAGGATACGAAACGCTTCTTCGTGTTTCCCGAGCTTCAAGTAGCAGGACATGAGAGTGTTGTAGCTCCACATATCTGGAGATAAACCTGACTGAAGCATTTCGTCGAACAGTTGGTGGACACGACTCAGCGAAAGCTGCTTCGCGGCTCCGGAGATGAGCGAATTGTATGTGGAAACGTTTGGTTTGATCCCAGCTTCTCTCATCCGAAGCGTTACGGCGTAAGCTTTGTCGATTCCGACGAAACGAGAGTAGCCGTTGATTAAGGTGTTGTAAGTGACGACATCGGGAAGAACACCTAATCTGATTCCGTCTATGATCAGTGACTCCGCTTTCTCCAAGTTTCGGAATTTGCAGAGAGAATCAACGCTTATGTTCAATAACTTCGTTGCGATTCTTGGGAATTTCATCAATCCACGAACCATTATCTCGAAGAATACTGAATCGAATCGACATGTGGAATAGCTAGAATTTTCAAGAAATTTAGTAGCATTGAAACGTGAAGATCACGGAATTTGTCGGTAAAGGAAGAAACTTGAGAATTCAGGATTAACAAATTTTTTTAAAAAAAAAATCAAGAAAAGCAGAGCTTGACGATGACGAAAACATATAAAATTCATACACGAGATCATAAACGATGTATTACGACGTCGTTTGATTGTTCATCATCCTTTAAAACGACTTCGTTTATATCAATCCGTCTCATTTTACAACCATTAATTGAAAAATCTCTAAAATCCTGACTAACAAAAATACAGAAACAACAAAATGAACTAATTAAATGTAATCAGATGTTACAAAAAAAAAAAAAAAAAAAATTGAACTACTTTTAAAAAAGTTTGGAAATCTTATCTAAGTTTTTGAGTCGGCTACAAGTGATTGACCAGAGACTTCACCAAACGGGCCTCCTCTGTTTCTCATAAGCTCACCAAAAGAAATACAACTCTCTGTTTGGTTATTATTATGTCTTCTCGTAACCTTAATCTTAACATGATCCGGTAATCTCAAAGTATACCGATCTTCTTCCTCCGGTTTATTCCTCACTATCGAATGACCCGTCGTCTTCGATCTCGAGAATTTATCCGGTAAAGATTCAATCTTTCTCTCGTTGTTACCACCACTACTACTCTGTCTCGACAACATAGCCTCGTTCGATGATGTTGTCGCCGTCGTCTGATCGCGGTTCTCGTCTCTGTTTTCGTGTATGACTTCGATGATCAACTCTTTGATATTTTCCGGCGCGTTTGGATCTAGATTCCGGCGACAAACAGGGCATGTTTTGTTAGATTCTAGCCATCGGTCGATGCATTCTTGATGAAAGACATGGTAACAAGTCGTTAACAGCCTGAGAAGGATGTGTTCTTCTTCGAATTCGAGAAGACAAATGGCGCATTCGAGTCCGTGTTTATCTTCTCGGAGATCTTTGACTGAGGAGAATGGAAACAACGGGAAGGATTGGATGATATGTGGCTCTAAACCGGGGTTAACCAGTGGTGGAACGGCGTTTTCTTGTTGTGTTTGGTTTTCATTTCCGGGTGATCCGTTGCGGTAATGGCGATCCCAAGCTTGTGTGAGGCTGTGGAAGAAACATTTGCAGAAATAGAGAGCGAAGAAACCGATGAAGAAGACGACGATGAGGATCACAGTTAGGATTATGATGAGTGGTGGTTTGTTGTAATGATGCGGCGGCTGAGATTGAAAAGTGCTGTTTCGTTGGGTCGGATTCGCTATCGACATTGAAGTAAAGAGTATCGGAGATTGTTTATCTCCGTTGTAGAAAATGCAAAGATCGAATGTTTTTTTTTGTTTCTCAATTTATATATTGTTTTTAATTTTTTTTTTTTTGAAGAATTATGGAAGTGTGTTGAATTTTCTGTGTGTGTATGGTGAGAAATGTGAGTGTGTGTGCTTAGGATTTGTTTACTTAATTTAGAAACGAGTTTTGTTAGTTGTGTGTGTGTGTGATTGCTTTAACTTGCATTGAACGAGTCTCTAGTGACATTGTTTTGATGATTAATTAAAACCACCTAATTAAGCTACTTTGATCTAAATACTGAAAAGTGCAGAAGGGTTGCTTTAAGTTCAAGTATTTATACCTGTAGCACTTTGGAAAAATTAAAAAAAAAATTTCATTTTTCAACATAGATACTCACTCTGTTTTTTATTAGATGTTTTAGAAATGTGCATATAGATTAAGAAATCATTTAATTTTTTATCTTTTTAAAATAAAATATATATTTTTGTCAATTCCAAAATAGTTCAACCAATAGAAAAATAGGATTCAGAATTCAACTACTCAAAACAACAAAAATACAATTAATGTTTGCATAGAAATTTGAGAACATCATATATTTTGGAACAAAAAATAAACTCTAAAACATCATCTAAAGTATATGATAGGTGAATGGAATTTAAGTTCAAGTAATTATATCGTTTAGTAATATAATTTACGTATAGATGCACGCACTCTAATTCCAATAGGTTATCATGCAACGAGAGGAGATAGAATTAAGAAAGTTTTTGGTAGTTCATACATGCAAGCTATTCGTGTTCTGGTGGTGCAAGCAAGCATGGGTCAGTGCTTTAACGTCCACTGATCGAGTAGTTGCACCGAATCAAACCCTAATTCATTACATAGAGCTGATACTGTCTATGCATAAATGAGGTATTCTTAAATACCTTTTTCCTGTTATTACTATTATTATCATGTGTATTTTTTATGTCGTTCAAAAAATACCTCTTGTTGTTAATATTTATTTTGATTTCATTTTGGCAATTATAGCAGATTTTTTTTTTAAAATCTTAGTCTTTTGTTGTATGCTGGTTTAAATAGAAAAATGGTATACAGTAGTTAAGAGATTATGAATTGCTTGAATGTAACAATTACTAATAATCGTATTTCTTTTCTTTTTAGTTGTAACCCAAATAAATGAATAAATAAAAAACTAAATCAAAGTTCGTCTGTAACTAGAGAGTCAAGCAAATTCTGTTATAGTAAAAATCTTGGGGAACTTGGCTGCAGTCGTTATTCTAGTCTAGTTGGTCTGAGTATGTGTGATCGTTATCACCAGGCCAGAGTTCGAATAGAGACGACTGCATTTGTGGTGTGTGGTGGTGGTGGTGAAGATGATGATGATTGACATGATTCTGAGACTTGATCTTTGTTTCAGTAAACATTTGAGGTACTCTAAAGTACCTTATCTTTTTAATCTCATAAATTCGATGAGAAGCCACGTGGTAGCTTCACCATTCCTTCAGCGGTCAACACATCGACCCGCTGAGACAAAAGCTTAACTGCTTCTTACGAGATACTGGCGACAAATCTAACGGCTGATATTTTTAAAAACTAAGAAAAATCGATAGCTCTCAATAACGTCAATACTTGTAATTGCATAGTGTGGTGGTAATTCAGATTTTCATTAAATTGGAATCCAAAACACGAAATAAGCATAAAGAGAGATTTTTTTCTTTCATTTTTTATCACCAAAAGAAACAAAAAGAGTCACAGAAAATTAACCGAAAAAACTAAAGTAATAATCACTAAAAAAAGAGAAGAAAAAAAAAAAACCTGAAAGAACCCTATTTTTAAGATCTCTCTATATTTATCTAAACCCCCCCCCCCCCCCCCCCCCCCCCCCCCCCCACAGAAAAAAAAAAAAAAAAAAGCTACAAGAACCCTCTCGAGCTTGAAATCTTCTTTAGAACCAACCTTCTCAAAAAGAAGCCTAGAATTCTGTTTATTGACCACTACCAGGCCAAAGATTATGATGATGATACATTTGCAAATGACGCATTTGTTGCTGTTGTTGAGCCACAGAGTTTCCATAAATCCCATTGTTATTGTTGTCACGGTGCAGCGAAGGAGAACCACTTTCATTCTCATCTGACGACTCGCTTGATGGTCCTTGAGAGTTTGATCCAAAGTTCAACATATTAGCCGGTGCTGAAGCCGGTTCTGGATTCTGTCCCCTAGCATTATTGTTAACTGGACTCTGTTTCGCTTTCTTTGCTTCTGCAACAAAGCTTCCCACTATCACCTACATATACACATGGACCACATTAGGACCGAAATGTCACCGATTAAACACACTAAGCCAAAATTACAAAAGTTTATATTTTTTGGTACCTGCACTGGTGTTGCAGCTACGAGCGGACCAACAACACGGCCACCTAAAATCCGTCCCTCGGATCCAGCCAAAGCCACACTCAAGCTACCACTTCTGTTGGTCGAACCATTCACCTCGTAGTTCAAGAACGACCCTGAGAGTGTAATGATCTCGAACCGTCCCTGCAAAAACAACACATACGCAAATCTCAACACTACAGGACACACAAACACTTGCTTGCTCAACACTAGTACAGTGAAAGAATATGTTTTTTTATTTAAAAACCTCGTAAGTATCACTTGCACTAGGATTAGAAGCTTGACGAAGCGTCATAGTAGAAACTGCGCCACTTGCAGAGAGAATACAGATTGTTCGTGGACCTTGTTCCGAAAAAGCCATCACCTTCGACGCTATGTCCTGATTTCGCAAACATAAACAACATCGAAATACTCCCACAATCATTCTTCATTCTAATTTTTCTAAATTATCAATCTTGAAGCATTGAAACAGTACCAAGAAATCAAATCATATTTTAAGATTTGTACTAAAACAAAGTACCTCTCCTGCATTCACTTCAATGACATGAGGTGTAAACCCTACTCCTGCTGTTCCTCCTACACACACAACATCAAAATCATTTGCATGTGATCAGAAACGAATGTGTTCAAAAGATTCAAACTTTGAGAGATGAGATTTCGATTTCTTGTTTTTTTTCATTTACCTAAAGCATCAAGCTGTTTCTTGCTGGAGCCAGGAGGTCTTCCTCTGTTACGTTTAGCAGGTGGATCAGCAGAGTTTGCATTGCCTCCTCCGCCGCCACTATCTCCGACGCCGCCGTCACCACCGTATGAGTTAGAAGCGGCGGAGAGAAGAGGAGACGTCGGAGCTAAACCTAACGCAATGTTACCATCAGGAGCGTACTTCCTCGGCCTTCCTCTCCTCTTCTTCACTTGTGGCTGTTGCTGTTGCTGGTTCTGGTTCTGGTTCTGACTCTGATCGATCCCAAATCGCATCGCCTGAGAAGAAGGCGATCCGTCGCCGAACCCAAGCGATTCGAGCGTTTTCTGATCCATTTGCTGCTGCTGCTGCTGAAGCGTTTGCTGCGGTTGGTGTTGCTGTTGTTGTGCGATAGAGCTGAAAGGTAGATGGTGATGGATCGACTGAGAGGTTGAGGTGGGACCCATTAGTGCGGCGGCGTTAGGGTTATGGTAATGAGACATTAGCAATCCCGGTGGTGGTTGAAGCTGCTGATGCGGCGGTTGTGGGATGTCTCTTGAATCCATTAGAGAGAGAGAGAGAAGGGAAAGAAGAAATCAATCTCAAAGATTGTTTCTTTCGGCCTAATTTTCGTAGACTCGATTTTTTCGATTTCTTTTTATTTTTTCTGTTTTGAGAACCGAGAAAACCGAGTCTGTGAGAGAATGGTGAAGCTTTAAGGTAAAGCGTGTGAGCTAACAACTCTCTCTCTCACACACACAGAGTCCGAGAGAGAGAGAGACGAAGGTGTGGCGGAATTTGTAATTTAATAGGAAAAAGAAATAATCTTTTTGTTTTAGGGTTTTCAGGAGATTTTCTCTGTGTTTGTTTTGTTAACTAACTTTAATTAAAAAAAATAGTACTATTTACGGTCATTGAGACTGTATCTACTTTTGATTGGATATATACTACTTCAAGCATTCAAGAAAATATTTTAGAATCTTTTTATTAGCTTGTAGTTTGTTTTTACTCTCATCCAATATATAGGAAAAAATATTTGTGGTCATCCATTTTTACTGTCACGAAGTTAGTATTTATTAAAAAAATTAAAGGGAAAATTTGGTTACTCAAGCATTCGTTATCAAAATTTGATAGTATATATAATATACTCTTAGCTATGATAATTTTGGTTTGTTGTATTTCTATTCATATTATCTTAATACAATGTGACAAAAGTCACACAAATTAGTACTCACATTATAAAAATAATTATTAAATCATTTGGTGACCTTTGTCCTTGTGTTCTCCCATTTCCCTCCATGTGTCATCATGATTCAAAAATAACAAATCGTGGTATATAATAAAATCTTCAAAAGCTTCTGTAATTTCTGTATCTTCTTACACAAGAACAGATCATCGATGATTAGAAAAACGTAATTTGGTCATTTACATAGTTTCAAAAGTTTCAGTGTTTAATGTGATGACTTAAATCAGTTTTTATACTATCAATAAATACTTATTTTACATATTAAGAAAATCCGACTGCTGTCACAAATACTCAATCACGTTCGATTACACCAAAATTAATCTAAACTATATCTCGTACAGTATCAAAAACAGAGAGAAAAAATTCAATACCAAATGAAGACATGAGAAATCATATTAACACAGATATCTCTAATCGACAAAACAAACATAAACGAGATATTAAAAAACATATTAACTCTTTTCATTTTTTAGTTTTGCTCAACGGACAAAAGCTAAGAAGCCATGGACACCTTAAAGTCTGGCGTCGCTGAACCACAACTGTGTGTTTTTAAGGTTCAGCATCTGATCTCATAAGATCCAGCTTTCGTTATGTATCGAACCCACTCGACCGTGTTGTAACCACTCTTCTCCCATACCTGTCAATCATTTCGATTAACCGGTCAGGTTCAATAGTTACCAAGTAAAGCTATCAACTTTTATTCAAGACCAGAAGCAAATGAAGAAAACCCAAATTACATAAAGGATATGATACATTTCGGATACTTAGCATCACATTTACGGAAGCATAGAAATCTCAAAGCGTACCTTGAGAAAGCGAACTCGCAAACCAGATGCTGTGAACATTGGCACCTGGAAATAAAATGAAGCTAAGACGGTTTAACAATCGGTTTAAACAATCTGGTTTTGTTTTTAACAATGCCAACAAGAGATGAAGATTGACCTGAAACTCCATTTGAATTGGTGGCCTTGTCCAAGATTTCTTTTCTCCCATTGTTGAGATCAACTCAATCTCTGCACTTAATGTGGACTCTGTTTGTCCTGGGAACTTTCTTATCCTATAGAGAGTAAAGAAAGAAGACAAATGAATGATAAAACACCAACAAATAGAATTACAGAGATGAAATATTAAATCTTATGAGGGTATGAACTCACTTCCAAACCAAGCAATCGATAGATGGATTGTACTTAGCGCGACCAGTTGTCACTTGGAAATTTGTCTTTGCTGTTTGTTTTGGCACAGGAATTTTAACTACGACCCCAAGGGCAAACATTTTAGCACCAAACACACTTTTGACCTGAAAAGACAAATCACGAAAGCGGATTGTAAGAGAGCAAAGATCAAGAAGCTGTTCTTTTTCTCTTCTTAGTCTTTGAGAAGAAAAGCTACGTACCTTGACATTCACTTCCATGCGTGTACGACCAAGTTCTTTGATTGTTGGTAGTACGCGGAAAGGTAGATTCACACCCTCTGTTATTCGGTACCTGAGACATCAACAAGTCAGTACACTTAGTTACTAGAACAACGTGCAACAGTGAGCATTCCAAAACTTACTTCATCAGTTCAAATTCACCATCCGGTGGAACGAAGCTAACTGTCTTCTCGGAGTTGAATCTTGTCAGGTTCACACACTGGTGAAATGTGACATCATCAAGCTCAATGGTTTTACCACTGCACAACAAGAGTGAGTCAGTGAGCAAAAGAAGAGTCAGTGGCTAGTGTGGATCACTGGTTTAACAAAACTTACCTCTTAGCTGGACGAGATTTCATTTCCGATTCCTTCTCAAGACCAATTTTATCATTCAACCCCAACTTCAAATCAGGCATTCCCGAAAGGAAACATTTCATTAAGACTTTCCCCGTCACATCACACCGGAGAACATTGCCTAACAGTAAAAAAAAGTGTAAAAACAGTCATACATGATAATCAGGAAGACAGAAACCTTAAATAAATAAGAAGCAGTTGTTTACCTTTAGAGGACATAAGAAGGTTTACACTTTCCACAATATCCAGAAACACCTAAAGTAGTGAGAATGCCTAATATCAACACTACTTCCGCACAATCTAGTAAATGAAATACACACAAAAAGAAACTCAACTCTTACCTCATTCTTTTTATAAGCAAGGCCCTCTCTTCTCCAGCCAACAGCACCCGTAACTTGTAATGTTGCATTTGGAACAGGCTTGTCTTTTGGCTGTTTTCAAATTTTTCACACATGAAAAGAAATTTATGAACGAGGACGAGCAAAGCAAATAAGTAACATAAATCCGAAATACTGCCTCACTTTTTCAAGCACCATACAGCAACACAATTCAAAATCTGTTGTAAGCAAACACGAATATATGCCTTTACCTTTGATGAAAACGGTGACCGTACACCTTCCTGAGTGATATAAAGTTTCAAAATTTCAGGGGAGAGATTTTGTGGGTAGCCAAAGTCCATGATCTCTGCAAATCCATACCAAACATCATTCCTTGATGTAGCAAAAAGAAAAAACTAGAATAACAGTAAGATTTTAGGAGAAAGATTAAAGCCTTACTTACCATCCAACAATTCATAAATCAGAACAAAGTTATTTCTTATAGCGTCTTCATCAAAAGCTCCACCAAAGTATGATTTGAACAAAGCAACAGCCTGAATATGAAGCAAAACTAAGTCAGCTGTGTGTAGAATCAATCTGAGTCTCTTAAATTTCAACAAGAATCAAAGCTACTCTGGAAAACGCAAGTGAAACAAAGAAAACCAAAGCTTTACCTCAACAACGAATTTGAATCCACAAGCTACATTAGCATTGCTACTGACAACAATGACGATGTAGACGTTGCTGATTCGCATATAGACAAAGGAGCAGCCACCAATCTGACGCACAGGACAATTCCCTAACTCCTTTGTCTGCATTATATGCGTCCGAAATGCATCCACCATGTTTCCCCTTAAAAAACCAAACGAATCGGATTAGCTCGAATCAATCAAATCCGAAATCTCATAATTCTCCAAAGGTAAAATCCTACGAAGTGGTCTACTTAGAAGCGATACAACAAAAACACGAAGCTGAAAAATGTAGTGAAAATTTCTCGAATCCTCAAAAGCCTGAATCAGAATTCTGAAGCATTTTGAGAGAGGAGAATGTAAGATAGAAAAGCTCTCTCACCCGACGTCATCGCGGTATGTGCGATTGATGAGTACATCGCCACGGAGATTTAGAAAGTAGATAGCGGAAGCAGCCACCGGCATCTTCGATCTAAGCGAGTCGAAGCGCAGATCGGTTAAACTCCCGTCAAATCCAGTAATCAGACGAGCTGATTTCCGGAGATTTGAGATTCGAAAGAATGTTCGACGAGATCTCGGACTCGGAGTCGGAAAGAGGAGGAAGACGACGACGAAATTGAACTACTACTGAAATAGAAATGGTTATTTTATCAAAAAAGAAAAATTGAAATGATTCTCATATTGAAATGGGCCGGGCAAATATATGGGCCAATCTTACACATTTTATTGTTTTTTTCCCGCAAATTGTGAGATTACTGAAATGTGAATGTAGAAATTTCCACCTTGTTGTCTGTCAACTTTAAATAACACATACCTAAAATTGCTTTGTTTATACTTTTTTTGTATTGCTTGATCATTCACCACAATGTACTAAAGTTTTAAATTTTCTAATACTTAACATTAATCCAAAACTTTATTTTTAAATAAAGTAGCAAATTTAATCCAATAACAGCTCTGATATATAGGTTGTATGAAAATAGAATTGGAACGTTTCGAAATGTAGAAATGTTATTATTTAAAAATATAAAAACTGAAATATTTTGAATATATATATATATAATATACATATATATATTAAATATATAAATATTATTAAAATTAAAATATTTAAATCAACTAAATACAATACATAATTATTAAATAATTTATTTTAACATAATAAGTTATAATATTTAAATTCAAAAATTTAGAAGATTTTCTTTAACTTTAATTTTATTAGCTTCACTAATCATCTAATTCTAACTGGTTGAAAGGAAAAAATTCTAAACTCAACAATACTAATATTAGTTTTATCTAATAAAGCAAAATAATTATTAACCTATTATAGTTATTTAAATTAATTATTAACTTCTATAAAATTTTATATTATTATTTAACTCAGTTTTATAATTGTTAATTTATTAACTAGAAACAGTACATGTTTCTAAAATAAAACTACAATTTTTAGAAAATATATTTTTCGTATTTATCATCGAGTTTTCAAGAGTTTTGGTTTTCGAAATATTTCTAAAATTGATCTCTTATATGGAGTTTTCATGCAATCAAAAAGAAAAAGAAATGATACATATTTTATTGCTTTTTGGAGGAAAAATAAAAAGTTATTTTTATTTATTTATACCGCGCCGTTAATGAAGATGGATTTAGACTCAGAAAGGCGTAAAGCTAGAAGAAGATCCTGCTTGATCCGTCTTTGATCTAATATTCTCCATTTTTACGGGTTTTGATAATTTACAGGTATATGGGTTTTGTTGGATCGAGACGCGATCGCGGAAAGTAGGAAAATTCAGGGAAGCAAAAAGGGAAGGAAGGGATATTCGAAACCCTAATTTATATTGTATCTTCAACTTCTACGAAAAGCATCGATTGAGACGAAAAAACTGCAGTTTTTCTGATTTAGTTAGAGCTTTGCATCGGATTTGATTGTTGGGCTAGTGTTTGATTTTTCTGGGTTTGGCCTGATGGGTTTCTTAAAGAAGTTAACGGGGATTTTCGGGTTCGGGCACAACGAAGGTGGGCACGGAGTTGCGAGAGATGACGATGGTGACAGAGATAACACTGGAACAGTCTCCGGCGACGGAGATAAACGCCGGGAGGATAATCAGCCGAGATTCCGTGAAACCGGGCTTCCAAGGAAAGGTTTTGGAGTTCCGGTTCAAGTCGCCGTTGAACGATCCAATCCTGGTCCTATTCTTCAGCCTTGTGCAGCTTCAGACGGTGGAGTTCAGGTTAGTCTTTCTTTTTGATTGGTTTTAACTGTGTGGAAAGTCATGAGAGTGTTTGATTCTGATGTTGAAAATATGGCTAAGGCTTTTATGGAGAAGTTGAATGTGTTCATCTTATACTAACTTCAGTTTCATGCTTCTTTGGTAGCATGATTTTTAATTCAATTTGTTTGTTTCCGATCACTCTTGGTCGGTGGCTAAAATTGGTTTTTGAGTTTGTGGAAAGATCCCACATTTCGTATTCTTAGCTTAACGTTGATAAACATTGAATCCTGTTCTACACTCGTCCCTGCTTTGTTTGGTTCTTTGGTTTGGCTCGAAATTGGCTTTACACCTGTCGTTCCTATTTATGTTTTTGGCTATTCCCTGAATAATCTATTAAATTAGGTGTCTTTAAGTTAACTCTATATAGATTCATCTTTGTATGCGAAACTATATGTTAACTCTATATAGATTCATCTTTGTATGTGAAACTAATGAATCGTCCTGAAAGATTATGCCAAGCCACAATATATGTTTTGTTTGATTAGCTACGGTAAAAGAAGGTCTGTAGAAGCAAGGAGCTTCAGAATCACTCTACTAGGGAAACTATAATCTAGCTTAGCATAATCTCTCATGTCTTGATGGTTCGGTAGTCATAATCACTTCCGAGGCTAAGATAGAGTTTAAAGAATCTTAATTGGTATAGACAATAATTTGAGTCTTTAAGAACCTATGTGATGATGCAGTGATGTGTATTTCTCTCATTGAGTTACTCTTGATGGCAGTAAGCTAACATCTCAGCATAATCATTGATTTAAGTTGCTTTAACCGAGAATTAACCGAACCTCTTGTTTGGATCAGGGACTACGTTGGTACTCAATGCGGTTAAAGATGGATGAAGACGGAGATGTTGCAGATGAGTTCTTGGAAGATCATAACTGTAAGACTTTGCCAAAAAGATGCAAAACAAAAGCTGCAAAAGTGAGAGGTTTAGTGATATCTTCTGATGGGAAGCTTCAGCCATTAATGCACTGAGAAATGAACACCAAGGAGAAAGATTTGCTGAATAGTGTGTGATTGAATCAGAGAAAGGGTAGAATATGTGTTTCATTAGCCATTTAATCTCGATATGAGTCGCTGGTTGTTGATACTTTGAGAACTTTAAAAAAAAATGTTATTTAACTGTGAATTTTGTTTAGTGAATCTCTCTGTTGGGTTGTCTGAAAACGTACGCTCAATTGTTGGAGTACTACAAGTTCTCTGTGTTTACATACACAGTACCTCCAACAACCTTTCTAGCTAAATATTATGCGTTTCATATACACCAAGGATTAAGGAATGATAGTTGATATGAAAACTGTATCGTGTATTTGATATATGAATTTGATTTGCATAAACCCCAAGAAAGTATAAAGAATAAAATATCAATTTTTATAGATTTGTTTTGTTTAAACGTGTATACAACTTTACATTTGAAATGATTTGGGTTTTAATAGGTTTTAAGATAATTTTGTTGATTTTTAGTGGAAAAGTTGCAATAATTTTTTAATCTCATTTAAGATCATAAAAATTGAATCTTTGTATTTTTAACTAACATTTTGGTATATTGCTAAAAAAAAGAACATTTTAGTATACATATGCTTCTGTTCTATATATTTCTATTAGATAATTCAAATTCAATATTTCGCTTAATGCTTGAAGAACATACTTTTATACCACAAACCTGTTACAAAATTGCGCCGGTGAAAAAATTTTTTTTTTGGAAAATTTATACAATACTGAAAAAAGTATATTTTGAACGCAGCGTCGTGTCAATGTTGGTATCGCTATGACACAAGCAAGGTCTACTTTTGTTGATAGACAACAATGATAGATATGTTTTGGACTTTATTAGATGCAAACATACAGCAAGCTCTTAAATTAATATCTACAAAATTATAATTTGCCGAACGGCATGGAGAAACTTTCATATATTATTGGGTTAGTCAATCGCTAAGCTATGTGATTGAAATTATTAAGTTGTAAAAATAGTTTTTAAGGCCGATGACTTGGGGAGTATATATCTACGAGGAAACCATATCATTAGTGGTCGTAATTATATATTGGGTCTGTCTTTATCGCCATCATATTATATATATATAAATTATTGTATGATTACCTATTTACTAGTAATTGTATGATTATTACGTCGATGAGTCATAGGTATTTAACTATATATTTCGATAATATTTTCTTTCGTTTTCGGTCTTCTACTGTCACCAGGTTGTGGACAAATACTAATATTTCAACCTAACACGACAAAATAAATCTTAGTCGTGTTGATAACAAAATTCTCACCTACGTAATCAAATTCATTTTCACTTTGTGTATAATATTCATAATGAAGCTTTTTCAATGTGTTAGGTTAAGAAACGACAAGGAAAATTGAAAACGCAACTCATTTGTATATTACTTGAAATCACTTATAGATCTTAGATTATTAGGACGTTAAACATTATCATAATTTAAAGAAGGTTCATATAACAAAAATAGTTTAAAGAAGTATTTTGCCTACTTTCAGATGAAGATTTGTTTAATTTTCTTCTTGACAAAAACTATTTGTTAATCTAGCAAACTAAGATCTGATTTAGATCTGCGCCGCACAGAGACATAGACAATGTACATCATTTCTTTCTTAAAATATTGCTATGATTATTGATTAGTTTGAATGAATTGGGTGACACATGCATGGGTATAAATGGTGAATCCAAAAATAATTTGGACCTTTCAATTTTAAATTACAAGTGCAATGTGGAACGTCCATAAAAAAAAAGACAGTGAACGGCCGTTAATTTAGATTTATATTTTGACCTTTTCCCAATTGTATGGGGAAAAAGGAGAATATAAATAATCTCTAATCTCTAATCAGTTATCAAATTATTGCAAGTCATGTGAAAACCATCAATCTTAATATTTATCACTTATACCTTAACAAGAAAACATTTTAAAACTCCACTTGTTTTCTTAGGTAATTGTATAAATTATATAGTTCACACAACATATAAAAAGGTAGCTAAGATCTATGTTTGAAAGAGAAAAAAATCTAATAAAATAGTATAGTACATTTAGTTATATTTATACAATGCCGTAAAGATAGACAATCGTTTCACGCACCCACCAAAATATCTTCACAATATAATATAGACACATATATATTAATATTAGGAAAAGGTCAGCATATTGCACGAATTTATGATAATTTAAATATTTTAAAATTATTTATTGCTAAATATTTATTGGTAAATATTAATTTTTAATTTATGATTATCATGTACTTAAAAAAAATATATTAAAAATTAGTCGAATAGTAATATTTATAGTGAATGAAATTTTTTTTATTCAACATAAGTATATAATCAAATTATTTATCTTCAATAATAAGAAATAGTTATTTTGTAGTATAACCAAACAGAAATATATTTTTGGTGAAATTTGTGATTACAAAATAAAATATTGATATTTTTTTGGTTATTGTAGATTATCAAAACATATAGCACAATTGTCATATTTTTTTGTGTAGTTTGTATATGTGTTCTCTCTAAGTCTCTAATTACAAAATCAACATTTAGAATAGATGTTAAGATACAATTTATAAACTCTCGGTTAATATACTTAATATTGTGATATTCATATCATGATAAGTGAGGTGAAAATTAATCACATATTTGAAAATAGAGCTATTTGCTTGTAGTATTTTATAGGTGCTAAAATGAATTCGCTAGTTGATGATATGTCATTACAGAGTTGATGTGTAATTTTGAGAAGGAGTTTGTTTCCAGTTGATTGAGTTAGACAAAATATATGATAACATAATGCACTGTTTTATAGTTTGTATTTAATTATCATTATTATTTTTGTTTAGTATATAATTATGAAGGACACATATCAATTTTTAACATGTTTATGCTTTTTTTTCTTTAAATACAAGTGACACATGTCAGTGCCACGTGATATTTATGATATTTTATCGAAGTTGTTATGAAAACAAAACTCAGACTTTATAAGAATAGATTGATTTTTTGTGTTAATTAAAGTGAATTGTGTTTGTAGATTATTGAATCGTTCTTGCTAACTACAAATTGTTATAAAAACTATATTGCAGTTTTTGTTTTTGTGTGGATTATATTTAATTATCTTTGTTATTTTTGTTTAGTGTAGTTAAATTTAATATATTCTTTTTGTTAACCAGTTTTCTTTTAAATATAAATATATAAAATAAAGTAAGAGACATAATGGAAGAGGATAATATTGAGAAGGAAAACAAAAGAGAAAAAATGACACATGATCTCAGTATATTATATAACATTTTTTGACTGATTTAATTTTTGTTTTTGTTTATTGGATGAAAGAGAATCGTTTGGAGAAAGAGAAAAAAAACTCTGAAGCTTTGTTTTATGGAAAAAAGTAACACATTAGTTTCTTACATGCCAGCATATCAGAACTATTTCTGACAAAAATCTTACTTTATTAGAAAAAAAACGACACATGACTTTATTATATTATAAAAGAGAATGAGGTTGATCCTATTAGCGAAGTGAAGCTGCCACCATTCCGAGGAAGTATGAGCCCTAGAGAGTAGAATACAAATTATAATAGCGGGGGCAGTTTAATGTTCGATGAAGAAAAGAAATGAGTGAGCCATTAATCTAAAAATAATTTTTGAAATCAAACAATACATGACTTTCTGTTTGATTGGCCACAAAGAAAACATGAAGAAATGAATCCATTTTTTTTACGCAAAACAATGTCACAATCAGCTCTTAAAAAAATTTTAAAAAACTTTGGATAAAGGAAAAAAAAACTGAATTGTTTTTGTTTGTTTGGTGAAAGATTCAATAGAAATAGTTAAAAAAGTGATACGTGTCAGTTTTTGACCAGAATTTTTTTTTACTTTATTAGAGTAGAATATTTATATATTATTGCAAAATCCCTATTGTAATTTTTATTGTTTTGTAGATTGTATTTAATTATTTTTATTGTTTATGTTTACTATATAATTATGAAGGATACACATCAGTCCAGTCTAATAATGTGTATATTTTTTCCTTTAAATATAAGTGACACATCTCAATCTCTGGAGTGTCACATGGCAGCGTTTCAAAGCTGTCCTGAAAAAAATTCTTACTATAGATATGTATATGGATACAACTATATATAGAGAGTATACCGTTAACCAAAACACTTCGTATCCAACATTTCTCATTTTAGAAAAAGAAACCAAAATAAGAAGAAGAAAAAAAATGTCGAACAAGATCCATGAAAGGAGCATTGAGATGGAAGAGGAAGGCTCTAAAAAGGAGACTAAAAAGATTCAAGAACTTCCGAAGGAGATCAAGAAGATTTTGAAGGATATATGGAAAGTTGGAAAAGACGATCCACGAAGAGTGAAACATGCTTTAAAAGTAGGAGTTTCTTTAACACTTGTGTCCTTGTTGTATCTCCTGGAACCTCTCTTCAAAGGCATTGGAAATAGTGCAATATGGGCAGTCATGACCGTTGTCGTCGTTCTCGAGTTTTCTGCCGGTAACTATAGCATTTTTCTTTATTAAATATCTTGGATGCATGAGCAAAGATATTTTGCTCGTAAAAATAGCTATAAGGATCAGTAATATGTCGTGTAAATAAGCTCATATATGTTCTTAATGATGTAAATGGCGTTTAATATAATTCAGGTGCAACGTTGTGCAAGGGGCTTAATAGAGGGTTAGGAACACTGATCGCGGGATCTTTGGCATTTTTCATTGAATTTGTGGCTAATGATTCCGGCAAAATCTTCCGAGCTATATTCATTGGCGCTGCAGTTTTCATCATTGGTATGTATTTGATTCATTTATATTTTGGGGAGTATTAGGGTGTTGAAGTTAAGATCGTGTAGCTAGAAGATGAAGCATAAGTTATTTGTGTGGTTTCAAGTTTGATGTCAAAAGTTCGGATATCAAGTTTTTTTATTTAGTCCCAAATTCTAAATTGGAATAGAATTGGATCAAGTTACATTATCAATTTTTTTTTTACCAAAACTGTTAAAATCTAACGACATAATGGTTTTAGACAGAATTTTGATATTGTATGGAGTTTATGATGCGAAATATATTAGTTTGTGTAAGTAGACGAAAATATTGAATTTTTTTATTGTTTTCTCTATGATAATAAAATTTGATGTGACTATAGTCCCTATGTGTGTGTTACAGGAGCGGCGATTACATATCTGAGATTTATTCCATATATAAAAAAGAACTACGATTATGGCATGCTTATATTCCTATTGACGTTCAATCTAATAACAGTATCAAGTTATAGAGTTGATACTGTAATCAAGATTGCACATGAAAGATTCTATACTATAGCCATTGGTGTTGGTATTTGCCTTTTCATGAGCCTTTTGGTTTTTCCTATATGGTCCGGTGAGGATCTCCATAAGACTACCGTCGCTAAGCTTCAAGGCCTCTCTCTTTGCATCGAAGGTACGTACTTATGGATACTATACATTTCAATATACACAGGGGATTAGCTCAAATTTTTCATATATTTCTTGAACTATTATCAGATATAGTTTATTAAATGTTATTTTTCTTAGCATGTGTGAAAGAGTACTTTGAAGAGGAGGAAAAAGACAAAGAAACATCAGATTTATCAGAAGACACGATCTATAATGGGTATAAGTCTGTTTTGGATTCTAAATCCACCGATGAAGCACTCGTAAGTTATTCCAATCACATCAGAACTCGAATAAAAAATTTCTTATCTAATAAACATTACATTACAATGTACATATAGGCAATGTATGCAAGTTGGGAGCCAAGACACACAAGACATTGTCATAGATTCCCATGGCAACATTATGTTAAAGTTGGAGCTGTTCTTCGTCAGTTTGGTTACACTGTTGTCGCTCTTCATGGTTGCTTAAAAACTGAAATTCAGGTAACTCAATAGTGAAAATAAAATAAAATATGTGTATTATTATTACACTAATGCATAATTAATTCACAGCTAAAAACTAAGAAAATAGAAACTGTTAATGAGGAGTATTGTCATAGTAACTTACTAAGTAAAATGGATTGGAATACGTTTTGGACGTTATTAAATCTTGTGACGTGCTTAGTATTTTTTGTATCACATTTGATATACTCATTCGTGGAAATGCTAAATGAAAAATTATTTACATGTATAGTCAATAAAAGTACATGATACATCCAAGTTTTTTGTGTTACATTTTTATCATATGTTAATATACTTGATAGAATTTTGTTTACGTCATGGTTTTTTGCCAGCCACTTGATTTACTCTGATATTTAATTGTGTTTATGTTTAATTTGAAGACTCCAAGGTCAATTCGTGTACTCTTCAAGGATCCTTGCATTAGACTCGCCGGAGAAATCTGCAAGGTTTTGTCGGAACTCGCGGCAAGCATTCAAAACCGACGTCACTGTTCGCCGGAGATTCTTTCCGACAGTCTCCAAGTGGCATTACGGGATCTCAACTCCGCCATCAAGTCACAACCTAAACTCTTCCTCGGCTCTAACGAAAACGGAAACGTTTCCCAAAACGGCAATAGCGGTAGACATAACCAAAACGCTGCGGTTTCGCAACAGATCAATAAAGACACAAACGACGCTATCTCGCATCAAAACGACACTGGAACGCCACGCGGCGAAAGCGGATCGCGTTTGGGACCAAACGGTGCGATTTCACGCCAAAACGCTGGAACGCCACGCGGAGAAAGCAGATCGCGTTTTGGACCAAACGGTGCCGTTTCCTTTTCTAGACTGAGGTCTGATACGTTAGAACGAAGATCGACAGCAGCGACCGGAGAGAGACGTATATTGAGGCAACAGTTGAGCAAGATTGTGGTGATGACGAGTCTTGAATTCTCGGAGGCGTTACCGTTTGCTGCGTTTGCGTCACTTCTTGTGGAAATGGTGGCGAGGCTTGACAATGTGATCGAGGAAGTGGAGGAGCTGGGAACGATCGCTTGCTTCAAGGAGTACGATGGGAGCGTTGATCAGACGGATGTGGAGGTTCGAGTCGAGAAGCCGACGAATCTAGTGGTTGGCGTGGAGTGAAAGTACGGTTGCGAACAGTTTTGGGTTAGCCCCTTTGGACCAGACCAGGTCTATATTCTCTTTAGACCGAAGACCAAAGCAAATTAAACTAGATGGCCAGCTAGTACATTTGAGCTACGTACTCCGGATCATAGCTATTGTGTGTTTAGATTCAAGAGGTCAAGACCGAACCGATCTGTATGATGAAGTTTGGTTTTGGTTTGATTTGGTTCGGTTGTGATTCGATTCTCTATTTGGTATTTTGGTTTTCGGAATATGTAAAATGAGGTAATGATTTTCAACGTTCGCTAATGCAAATCAAGAATATTATGCGTATATCTTTGTGTGTTATGGTAGTCGTTAGTTTTGTTAAGTCATAGCTAATATCGGGGGAAAAAACATGAAAAACAAAATAGGGTAAGACCAGAGACATCTTGTAATGTTACTTTTTGGACCAACCTAATGAATTTTCTCAACGCTTATTAATAAAACTTTATATTTGTAAAGAAATCACATAATAATGCAGCATTGAAGCGAATATAAAATATCAGAAATTTATAAGCTTCAGATCCAACTAATGAAAAAGATGTAACATTTTGGGGGTTTCTGAGATATTTATCAACTTGCTACTTCACATTTGCCCTTTTTACATAATTTCATTTTGAAACGACAAACTATATATCATGTTATATGGTCCCCTTTTTGTATAAATGAATCATTGATTCCACCATAAAATGTTTTTTTTTGTATAGTGAACTATTGCTTCTATTATAATTGGAAATTTTGAATTTATTTAGGTTTTAAAGGTAAATGTGTAAGTATAGATGATTTGTGAAAGAAATTATAATTATTCGATGAATGTATTTATCTCAATAATAATCGTCTAGAAGTTTATAAGTTTAGATGATATTAGATGAATTGTAGAACTGCAAACAGTGGAATAATCGATATACTTTAATTTATTACTAATAGTTTTTTTTTTTTTTGACATGTCATAGTATATAGCAAAACTATCATCCAAAGATGTGAAAATATGAAAACTTGAAGATTGTTCTAAATTATACTAATAAAAATAACAGAATCACATAAAACTAGTATCACATTATTTATAAAGTGGGCGATTAAATTGGTTATTAATGGAGATGTACTCATGTAGAAGTTGTAGAATTTAATTTCTATAAATTTGTATAACAAAATAATCATCAACATTCTCGTATATGATTAAATGTAATATATGTATACTTTTGTCAATATAAAGATAATATGCTTGTATATTATTAGTGCAAATCACTAACACTAATCTACACATATCTTGATTATTTTATAAATAGTAACGTCAAAATAAGGGTAAATAGTGTTTCCAATTAATTATTGTAGCTTGGAAATGAAAGTCTCAAGTCTATCCATTCATTTTGGGACAAAATGACGTCCATTAAATTTGTTTTCTTTTAGCAAATTTTTTTTCCTTGTCGACTGCTTTTATTCGTCAAATTAAACCACCGATTTCATGAAAGATATCCATTAAAAAAATAGATAAATCTTTCTAATGGAGACACCGTCCAAATCTTAAAAGGATCAAATAAATTCTCCCATCGTAAGATATATTAATTGTCTGACCCTAAAAACATGAAGGTTTGGGAACTTGGTGACATTTGCACACACAAAAAAATATAAATACAAAATAAAGCAAAGACATATAATGAGACACATGAAAAGAAATCTATATACACAAGATTAAGGGTGTAAATAGTGAAAATAAAATTAATCACCGATGTAAAAGCGAGTGAAATTTAAATGTGATTTGTGTTAGTATTATGTTTATGTTATTACTCGTGATCTCGTGTTCAAATCCGTATTACATATTCGCAGATTGTCAATAAAAAATAATATGAATGATAGATAAAAGAATACACTTATTCTATTTTTTTTTTTTTTTTAATGGGTTTGAATGGTATGCAGCTTTTTTACGTTTTTACGTTTTGAAAATTTGATTCTGTTATTTTTTACCATTCATGTTATTCATCACGTTTTCACGTTTTTACGTTTTCACGTTTTTTTATGTTTTTGAAACGTGATTCTGCTAGCATGTTAAAAATATAACTAAAAAAACAAAATATGATTAGTCTACTAAAAGTAGTTTTTTAGCGTTTCACAATTATTCAGCTAAAATATTATTTAGTTCAGTTTATTCCGCTAATAATTTTTCAGTTATTTCGCTATTCTGTTATTCATTTGACATACCAGTTAGACTCAAAATACTAGAGAAACACAGATTGTTCATTTACTCATGGAATGGAAATGATAAATTTTGCTTTTCCATGTGTTTTCACTTTTCATTATAAAGGATAAATATGATTGGGATATATGACTGTTTAGCTCCACCAGATATTATTTCAATAAATTGCAAAACCAATTGTATCCTAATAGTTGGATGGTATGTCGGTGACTTATGAATAGAGTTTTGTTTTCATATTTAGTTTTTTTTTTAGGTTCTCAATATCTTTGTAATTTATTTTTCCCCAAATAAATGAAGAAAAACACAATCTTTGATCCATTAGTTATTGCAAGTCACTTGAAACCCATCAGTCTACTCTATAGTCTGTCATCATTTTGTAGTTTGTATTAGGTACACAACAAGATATCATTTTCTTTGCACAAAAAAAAAAGATATCATTTTCTTATCCTTTTAAGGTAACATGTGAATTACTTGATCGTACAAAGAACATATACAAAGACGAAATTAAGGCTTTAAGTTGTGTATATATGTATATATTGTAATTCTATCTTTCTTTTTTTGGTATGAAAAGAGAAGAGAAAGCTTTTTTCTAAAAATATAGTAGAAGAAGTGAAAAGACAAACCCGAAAGTGTAATTCCATCTTGTGTAATAATAGCAAACAAAAATCAAGCAATGATTAGTACTAGTCGGTAGAGGATACCGATACTCTTTCGGTTTCACCAAATTGGAATCCTAATGATTTACGTATATTATTGTTATCGACGGCGTATCATATATTTATGAAAATTATAAACGAAATTTTTTGAAATATCTAGATTTTATTATTTAAATAAAAATTCAAAATTGATGGGGACGAGTCTCTCTTAGCTCACCCACTATTTTACAAGCACACAAGGTAGATTACAATAAAACCAAGACCCTTTCACATTGAACTACGCCTATATGTATCAGTGAAAGTAAACAAACAAATTGAAGAAAGAAAAATGTGGAACAAGGTCGCAGAAGGGAGTATGGAGATTTCCATGGAGGAAAAAAGTTCAAGAAAAACGAAAAAGAAGAGTTCAGAAATTCCGAAGAAGATGAAGAAGACTCTAAAGAATCTATGGAATGTGGGAAAAGAAGATACGAGAAGGGTGAAACATGCTTTGAAAGTAGGAGTTTCCTTAACATTGGTGTCGTTGTTGTATCTCATGGAACCTTTCTTCAAAGGTATCGGAAAAAATGCAATTTGGGCAGTCATGACCGTCGTTGTCGTTCTCGAATTCTCTGCCGGTAATTATATTTTTTAGATGATCTTATCTTCATTTTACTCAGATTCATTAAGAATGTGCGTTTATATATATAGTTTTTTTTGTTGTTCAAATTTATATATGCATTTTAACTGCAAACATCTAGACAACTACAAACTTAATATAACTCTGATATTAATTTATCCCTTTTTTTGTTTGTCGCAATAATTCATTACTTAATTAGAGGTGGGTGGCTTATCCACTTTTAGTCTTTTACAAGCCAATCCGATAAACTTTTTTTTTTTTTTTTTTTTTTTGCAAATATCAATCCGATAAACTAGGAGAAGATAATTGCATCACAAATAGTGAAAAGGAGCACATATTATACTTTATCTAGAAAAAAATATGAATTCAAATGTTAGCATGTTTTATATGATTTAGTATGAAGAAGGAAACATTTCTGATTGATTTTTTTGTTTGGCCTAAGAATCTAATAGTTAAGCGGAAATGGAACAGCACCAAAGAAGAAAACAAAAATTTGGCCGATTTTTTTTTTAATGAAGTTAATTGACTTTATTTTTGTAGTTACGTACATATTACAAGGCCAAAGTATAAGTGTCTTAATTCACTAGTCGTACTGGTAAGTGATAAAATTAGTTGGCTATATATAATTGCAGGAGCAACATTACGCAAGGGATTAAATAGAGGATTAGGGACACTAATAGCAGGATCTTTGGCATATTTCATGGAGTTTGTTGCTATTCATTCCGGTAAAATTTTCGGAGGTATCTTCATTGGCGCTGCTGTTTTCATCATCGGTACGTATTTTGTTATACATTTTGTCAGACATTTATATTTTGTTCTAACATGTGTATTTATAACTATATATAAAATATTTGTGGTTTATATATGTGTAACAGGAACGACGGTAACGTACATGAGATTTATACCGTACATAAAGAAAAACTACGATTACGGAATGCTTGTATTTCTTTTGACGTTTAATCTAATCACAGTGTCGAGTTACAGAGTTGATACTGTGATTAAGATCGCACACCAGAGATTTCTTACCATTGGTATGGGTATTGGCATTTGCCTCTTCATGAGCCTTTTGATTTTTCCGATATGGTCTGGTGATGACCTTCACAAGTCCACCGTTACTAAGCTCAAAGGTCTCTCTCGCTCTATTGAAGGTACATAAACTTTACTCCAGAAGTATTAATTGCACATGCAAATTTGAATTATACGTACACATAACATAAATGGTTGTTTATCTATACGTAGCATGTGTGAGTAAATATTTTGAGGAGGAGAAAGAGAAAGAAAATTCAGATTCTGAGTCTGATGATGAAGACGACGTAATCTACAAAGGGTATAAGGCTGTTTTGGATTCTAAATCCTCAGATGAAGCACTCGTAAGTCATCTTAAATCATTATTTCAAATCCACAACTAAATTATTGATTGACATGGCCTATTGCATATATTTGTATAAGCATATAAATACGTATTTGCATTATTCAATTCTACTTACAAAAATATCTAAGAGACTACAGATAAACTAAAAATTGAAAAAGATAAAAGTTACAGTATTACATAAAAAGTCTCAGAACTAAAAGTTTAAAATCTAAAAAAAACAAATTTATGGTGGTCAAGTGGTAGATTTGTGTTTATAACCAATAAATTAATCTTTTTGTCGAAAAAAATAAATTAATCTCTTTTTTTTCAATGTAATAAGTCAAATTATTAAGAAAATATTGAACATATCATATATATATATATAGGCGTTGTATGCAAGATGGGAGCCAAGACACACAAGACACTGCAATAAATTTCCATCCCAACAATATATCAAAGTTGGATCTGTTCTTCGCAAGTTTGGTCACACTGTTGTTGCTCTTCACGGTTGCTTACAAACCGAGATTCAGGTACACTTTTTTTAACTCTTATAACTTTCTATTTGAAAACTATTAATCATAACGTATAGTTTTATATAATTTTGTTTTTATGTTCATTTTTCAAGACTCCAAGGTCTATTCGTATACTCTTCAAAGATCCTTGTGTTAGATTAGCCGGAGAGATCTGCAAAGTTTTATCGGAACTCTCCGAAAGTATTCGAGACCGACGTCGCTGCTCGCCGGAGATTCTCTCCGACAATCTCGAAGTGGCGTTAAAAGATCTCAACACCGCGATAAACTCACAACCTAAGCTCTTCTTGGGATCTAACCTTCACAGTGACATCACCAACAAGCACTTAAACGAAAACGTTTCATATTACAATGATCAAAACTCAAACGCCATCGTTTCGTATCACAACGACAGTAATAATTTAAACGGCAACGTTTTGGGTCAAACTACGCAACCGAACGTCGCCGTATCAAATCCCCACTTAAACAGTGCCGTTTCGCTCTCTAGCTTCATGAGAAACATGTCACATCGGAGATCGGTGAAGAAACCGGCGGCGATCGGGGAGAAGAGGAGACTGAGGAAACAATTGAGCAAAATCGCGGTTATGAAGAGTCTGGAGTTTTCGGAAGCGTTACCGTTTGCTGCGTTTGCGTCGCTTCTTGTGGAGATGGTGGCGAGGCTTGACACTGTGATTGATGAGGTGGAGGAGCTGGGAACGATCGCCTGTTTCAAGGAGTACGATACGACTGTTGATCCGACGGATGTGGAAGTGCGAATTGAGAAGCCGGTAGAACTAATACTCGGAGACTGAACTGATCGGTACAATTCGACTTGGTTTGGTTTGGTACAGTTTTCAATGTGATTTGATTCTGTTTTGTAAAACAAATTGATTGCGTCATTTTTAAAAATTTCGGAAATTTTGTAAAACGAGTTGGTAATTTTTGAGGATTCGAAATGAAGATCTGTTTGCAGTTTATTTCTGGCAAGTAGTCTTAGGAATTGAAATAGACGAAAAAAAGTTCGGAGGAGGGCCCAACCGGGTTCGAACCGGTGACCTATTGATCTGCAGTCAATTGCTCTACCACTGAGCTATGGACCCAAGTTGTTATTTATGCACAAGTAAATAAATAATAGTGTACAAAAAATAAATAAATAAATATCATTTTCATTTTTTTGGGTTAAAAGGCCTATATCATTTTCATTTTTAACGTAAGAAAATCACATTTTTATAAAAAGATTGTTGTATTATATATATATGGTCCCCCATCATTCCTTTTTATAAAAAGATTGTTTTACGCATAATCATTTTTATCAGCTTATCACTTTCATAAAGTTTGTTTTAAAGGTATATAGTGACTTCAAGAAAAAAATGTTTCTTTATATATATAGTGTGGTCCAATTAATCATTAGAGTAGAAATGAGCGATTGTTGCAAATAACTAATTCGAATTGAAAATACATAGTCCTATTGAAATTATAAAAGTTCAAAGAATCCATTAAAAAAAAGCTTTAAGTACGTCACGATAAATATATACTATATATCCATACTAATAAAAGAGTAATAAAACGATAGAAGAAAACCAAAATAACTCTCATAACTAAACCATCCATAGACCAGACTCGAACAATAAAAGGCGTTTTTGTCTTAAAGAGAGACCCCTCAACGATACTCCCTCTAGGAGAAGTCTGAGTAACCGAATAAACCGGTTTGATCGTATCCACAATAACCGGTTTGCATAGATTCGTCCATGTTCTGATCTACGTTCGTATACAAGGTACTCGCTGGATAATCCACGTATTGATCACCGATGACCGGAAAATCAAACTCTTGAAAGTACTCAGATGCAACATCTTGGATTTGAGGATAGTCCTACAAAAATAATAATCAAACCGGTATTAGATAAACAAAATCCCATTCTGGTTTAAGTTATTGGTCAATTTAGAATGTGAATACATACTTTTGAGGAATCGAGAATGAAATCAGGTGAAATCCAAATGTTTGATGAGTCGGTTTCGGTAGAAACCGGATTGACAAATGAGTGAAACGGCATCGCTTCATCGCGACTAGGTGAAGTCACTCGACTCGAATAACCCGAACTTTCTCCTGATCCAAGTGTTTGCTCACTTAGATTTTTCATTCTTGAATTAGTCTTGATCTCATTCTTCTTAGCCACACGACACAACACATAAGCTCCCTGTAATTAAACACATTCATTTTCCAAATTTCTTACAAAATAAGAAACAAATTAAACTATTACATTTTAGAATTTGATCAAAAATGTGAAGTTCTTACCTTGAAACTTTGTGATCCTTGTGATGAATTCTCATCATCGCATAGTCGATATTCATGCATGAGCCAACTAGTTCTATCGCCTAATGGAGCACGACCTTTATAGAAAACTAGGGTTTTTCTGTAGCCAATTGTAGAAGATGAACGACAAGTAATTTTCCGGTCTTTTCCGGTTGCCTTCCAATAACCGGCCTTTGTTCCTCGGTTTGTACGTAAACCATTAGGATATTTTTTGTCCCTTGAACAGAAGAAGAACCACTCCATGTCCCGGTTTGGAAGAAAAGACTTGTCTAAAAGTAACAAATAGAAAAATGTGTTAAGAAAAATTCGAAAATTAACAAGAAAATTTTGAAATTAATATATAATTTAAGTTAATTGCCTACCTGGTAACTCCCAAGGATCGAATTTATATAATTCGATTACAGGAATGACTTCAAGCTCGATCTCGAGACCTTCGACTTTTCTTTTCAAGTAATAGTCGATGAGTTCTTCATCTGTAGGATGAAACCGGAATCCTGGAGGTAAACATGAACTTCCCATTTGCAGATGACTCTCAGACTAAGTGACTTGCTACAGAAGAAACAGCTAAATATCTTGATCCACGTGTGTTATTAAAAAATAGAAAGCGATATTAATTGAAGTCACGAAGCTATAACTGTTAATATTTGGAAAATCCAGAAATAGAAACTTTTCTCGACGATCGTTTTGTTGTTAAGAAAAGATTGCAACTCAACTCGATTGCATTCTTTGTGTGACAAGAACATTGTCTGGAAAAAAGAAAATTGTTTTTGTATGACAAAAAACAATCAACCAATAAAATATTAAGAGAGGGAAATGTCGAAAGAGAGAAATAATGGTGTGAAAGCTTCAAAAGTGATTAGCGAATGATTAAGAGAGCGATTGAGAGATTTGAAGGTTGGTAGAGTGTTGAATGGTTGTGGTGTGCTGAATATTTATAGGACAAGGTTGGTAGAACCTTGATCAATAAATCAAATCTTTGTTGGACTTGTAATTTTTTTTTAATAAGAATGTGGCTTTTATTTTTCACAAAACTATGGGAGACCGATAAAGCGATTAAGACATAACTTGTCGCAAGTGTTCTACAAAGTAAATGGACCCACCTAGACTCAAAAGGTTATGGACTTGTTCAGTTGTTCACACTTGGGCACAAGCGATTAACAACTCATTCCATTTGTCTTATAATCTCTTTCATTTTGGTTTCCTTCTTAATTTCTCATTCTTTTTTTCTTTTCTACTAGCTTAATTATCATTTTAATTTTAGGTGATACAATTAACATGTGATTCACTAAATAATCAATGTTTCATTTACTCGTGTCAATTTAGTTTTTTGGTATCAAATTATTGAAGTTGTAACCAGCAAATTATGCTATAATGTGTACAACTTTTACTTTTACACATGAGTTAAAAGTTTCCGAGTCATATATTGCTGTAATATTGAGTTTTAAAAGATTGTTCCACGTCACCATGCGTAGGACAAACGAACTTTTAAGTGTAACTAATCACTTTTATGTCATACAAAAAAAAGAGAAGAAGAAGAAAGTGACAACGAAAACTACATTTGAGTCCGAACAAGCAAGTGGACCCGCGGCTGCTATAATCGAACCAAAGTATATTTTATTTTGTAATTAAGTTGATATTTTTTTGTGTCTTTAAGAACGATCAAAGAGTCACTTTGAATATTTGCTGGAAATTAAAAAAAAAAATCCAGAAGTTGTGCCATACAACTATTAAGATATAAAGTTTCATCTCCGGCAATTGTGGAATATGTTGAAACATGAGCTTTACGAAAGACGGAACTGAAATCTTGAATCTAAACTGGACATGTCTGCGATGAATTAAGAAGAAAACGTGACTAGACGTAAGGTGAAAAATAAAGAAATTCGAGATATATGACATTTTTATTTTTTAATAAGCTTTATTCATCTTTTTGCTTCGATTTTCTACACCATCCCTAATAGAGACCTTTAGGTGTCTAAACAGATATTTTTAATAATAAAAATGGTTTATAGTATTTTATATTTTAGACTAGTCTCTAAATTAAAACACTAGTATCTAAATTAAAAACACAAGCGTGGCAAGCTGGAAGTGGACGATAGAAAATTTCAGTTTTTGAATTGCACTTCTATAATTTATATGTTTTCATGTATTACATTTTTAAAAATGTATTATGTTTTAAAAGTTGTTAACAAAAGTTTTTACTTAAATTTATATATATATATATTTGTTTTTAAAACACTCATCAAAAGTGTCTTTATTGTATATTCTAAAAATAACAAAATACTATAAAGTGTCTTATATACATAAAATACACAAAGTATTAATAATTAATCAATAAGACTCACAATAATGATGTCTCTATTGGGCTTGCTCTAAGACTCACACTAATAATTAGAGCGTTAGGTTTAGTAAATAAGAGGAAGGAGCACATCTCTTAGCTTCCTAATTATGTAAATAGGAAAAAAATGAAGACTTGTATATATCATCAGGCTAGTTTCCTAATCATGAATTGGGAAAGTGTCTTAATCATGCAAGCGCGACATGAGCAGTAAAAGGCCTTTAATGTAGTTTGAGAATGACACCAAAAATTGAAGAGAGAAGTGAGAACGTTCATTATGTTTTGTGTGCTATGCCTATCAGTATCAGATAGAAAGGCCTATGGTGCTCCATAGAAATGTTTGTGCGACATCATTTAATGGTTGTATGTTTTAACCAATCATAAGAAAATTTCTGTATGGAACTAAGAGTTTGCATTATGGTTGGATTTAACCATTGAGTTAGGCATGTACCGATGTACGTAAAGATTGCTTATAGTGTTGTCTGTGTTATAGAATCTTTGTAGAAATATTAGAATTCAGTTCTTATATAACTTAGAACATCCTAGTTATTTTATAAAGAAAAGAAAAACTAGATATATATATATATATATATATATATATATATATATATACAAAGTTGCACTACCTGATCGTTCCCATTTAGTAGGACCAACCAATTTAGTTTTTTTCATAGCATTCGAAAATGGATGCTTAGATACGATTGTCGCGGGTCAATTATGGCAATATTGTAGCTAGTCTGAAGTTAGTGTCAACTAGTAATATGATAGGTCAATTAACTCATCCAGTTCTGATCCTTTCCATAATAAGAAATTTGAAATTGCATGATATGTCCAAACATCCATATAGGTTAGGCCAACTAATATATTCGATTTGATACTGTTTTAGTTTAGTTAATTAAAATTAGTGTTTTTGGTAAGATATAACACAAAATTGACGTTTTAGTAAATCTTTTGTTTGCTCGTTATGAGCAAATTTTATCTGGTTTAGTTTTTACCGATCTATTCTATTCTATAGCTGACAAGTACTAATACGCAATGGGTCGTTACCTTCGGTTATGAAAATTATTTATTCGCACATTATAAAATATTCAAATTGAATCCTTATTTTGTATATTGATTTTGGTACCGTTTTTTGGTTTAGTTCGGTTAGGAATTAACAGGGTGAAAAAAAAGTTCAAAAAGAATGACTTCAGCTGACGGTAACAGAGGTTGTGTTCTAATCTATTCTATTCTAAAGAATGTACTTTTCACTTTGGTAAAGTAGGAATATTCTCCACTACTTATCTCATACATTCACTTTAACCCATGGTAACGTTCAAGGGAACACTTCCGAAAACTTAAAAAAGATATTAACAAAAAAAAAAGTCCCTAAAAGCATAAATAAATGCATCATATGGTAGGAAAATACTCGAAAAGGTTTGTGTATAAGAATAACGGATCTATTAATGACCACCCTTACACGGATACCTAAATTTCAAATCAACAAAAATGATTTTATTGCAACTAATAAAGTTTTTACGTGTGAAAGCTTGTCTAATACTCCAATGAATTCATGTTTCTACATAGGCATAAAATTTAATTAATTCAAACTCTAGAATATGCGATGTAAGATTTTCTTTTGGGGTATTAATACAAGATTTCTGGAGGTGCAAACACGTTATGTGTTGAATCGTATGAAATGAATAAAATGTATCTGTATGAACTCATTCATCATTTTTTTAACATTAACTCATTCATCATTCGTATAAATATGATGATGATATATATAACACCTTATAGTCTAGTTGGCTACATTGGAACGGGATCTCCATAATATATGCATAATAATTCATACGTGAAATCGATAGTGTGTGCATGCAGTCGTGGATAATGAAAATCAAGAAACAAATCAGTATTTAAAGTTCTCTAATTTTTTGTGTTAATTAATAAGTTCTCTTGGTACAAATGTATTTTAACAACTAAACTGTTATATTAAATCTATTTTGGGTTTAAAGATAATGAAAAGTTGTTAATCATAGTTAGGTAATTAACAAATTCCAACAAATCAATTTGTGTTGTTTTTGTTTTATGATGGTAAAAGAACAAACACTAGACGTATTACGAGGAACTAGCTCGTCCTAGACTGTTAGTTCTAGTTTATGAAATTTAATAATCCTGAACGTTAGAAATTGAAGTTAAGTAAATTAATCATAAATTGGAAGGTTAAAAAAATGGAGAGGGTAAAATTTAAAATTGGTGGCAAGGAGAAGTTGTGAGAAGTTGGAAAATGAGACAATCATCTTAGCACTTAATCACACTTTGTCTCCCCACCTTTTTCTTCTTTTTGCTTTCGGCTCCCTTCTTTTCTTTCTCTACTTTATTACCTTCTTTCTTTTGCCTCTTTAAGTTTCGTAACCAACTATCAACGTTTTAAGTTACGGGAATTTATTTTGATGTATCACATAGAGTACCAAATTCCGTATAAAACATATACCAATATTTGTTATTAGGCTTATATATATCATTGCTTTCCCATATGAACGGATGATGTAAACTTCTTTTGTTCATGTTTTTAGCATGAGATTAATTAAGCGAGATTTAGACTAGTTTTGTTACAGCTGCAATGCAATCTCTATGACTTAAACTATATCTTGCGAAAATCAATTAGTGCTTTTTTGACCAATAACCATTTTCTTTTATTTTGACTATCATACATTGGCAGGATCTGTTTTGTAGTTGTTCAAAATGTCAATCTTGTCGTAAATTATTATCATGAAAAGTGAACATAGCAATGAAGACAAAACACTAAAGCTAGGACAACATTTGTATACATGAGCTAAAATTTGGAGTCAACAGAATAAAACTAAAATCTGAAATATGTGTTTGGAATAATTGTAACTTCTGTACCATAATTGTCTTGAGGAACAAAATGTAGTTTAATACTGCATGTAGTATACACTATACACATTCTATTCACAAAACCTACTATAGTCGTCGAAGCGTAACAAAAAACTATCTACATAAGTCACTTAAAAGGCTTTGCCGATCAATGAAGAATTATATGCCATTTAAAAAATTAATTGTTTTTGTATTTATTTGAGACTTTACTTAGTTTATTTTATACCACATCATAAAAAGAATGTCAAAGTTAGATCTAATCCCTTTTACTTAATAGATAAATGGTATTGGTAACTCTATATTTGTATTAGAATAATATGCTCATGCATATGAATTAACAACCGGACTATATGTGTTGGGATATCTATGAACAAGATCCAAAACGCTTTTTGAATAATATGGTTTCTTTGGTTTGAATATTTAGTGACAAAAATCTGCAGATTGATCGGTCAAATGTTGACTTTGCAGACCATTCATTTTTCTTAGTATATTTATACTGCAATGCCAACTTTAGTTATTCAAATGCTCAAGTTCCAACAAAGTAAAAAATCGCACTTTAAAAAAAAAAACTGCACAGGCACATAAATAACAACGGATTTTGCTCGTACCAAAAACTGATGTCAAAATTTGAAACTAAAGTTATCACAATTGAAGATATATTTGCGAAGATAAAAATGAAGCTAAACGAGTATTAAATAGTATTATTAATTTTTTTGAATTTAGTTGAAAGGATGCCACTAAATTATAAAATCGTGTAACAAAAACA